CTTCCCATATCTGTCTCCATTTCCGGGCGTGGTATGTTCTTTGTTCTTTCTCTTCTCCTTCGGCCTCGAGGATTCCAAGTGACGGCTTGCCTTGTGACCCAGTTGGGTGCTTTCTTCAATGTGGGTGCTATCCACTTCCTGCGCTTCTTTCTGATTTCTTCCTCCGCTGGAATATGGTTTGTTCTCTCCACAGTAGGTTGTCGCTGATAGTGTCTGGCCAACGGATCGAAAGTATTTTGCGTAGACAACTGTTAATAAACACCTGTGTCTTCTGGATGATGGCTTTCGTAGTTCTCCAAGTTTCCGCCCCATACAGTAGAAATGTCTCAACATCTGTATTGAAAATTCTGACCTTGGTTGATAGTTATTTTGAGTTACAGGTTTTTTTCACTTGTAAATATGCTGCTCTTGCCTTAAAGATTCGCGCCTTCACGTGTGCATCAGATCCACCGTGCTCATCAATGATACTACCCAGTTACGTAAAGTCTTTTACATTCTCCAAAGCTTCTCTGTCAAGTGTGACTGGATTGTTGCATGTTCTGTTGTGTCGGAGAATCTTACTTCTCCCTTTGTGTATGTTGAGACCTACTGCTACTGAGGCTACTTAAACACTTGTCGTTTTCTCCTACACTTGTTGTTGCGTGTGCGATAGAAGATCTAGATCGTCTGCGAAGTCTAGATCGTCCAGCTGTATCCTGGTTTTCCACTGTGTCCTGTGCTTCCCCCTCAGATGTCGACATTTTCTTGATCCAGTCGACTACCGGGAGAAAGAAGAAAGGTCAGAGTAAGCGACCTTGCCTGATACCGGTCTTTAACTCAAACGAGTCTGTCAATTGTCCTCCATGCATGACTTTGCATTTTAATCCACCATATGAATTCCAGATGATGTTGAGAATTTTCTCAGGCACGCGGTGGTGTCGAAGAAGCCTCCATGGTGCTGCCATGTTCACTCTGTCAAATGCCTTCTCGTAGTTAATGAAATTGATGTAGAGTGATAAATTCCATTCAGTTGATAGCTCCAAAATGATCCGTAGTGTTGCGATTTGGTCGGTACACGATGGATCCTTATGGAATCCAGCTTGTTGATCTCCAAGTTGGGTGTCCGCAGAGTCCTTTATTCTGTTAAAAACATCCTATTGCAGAATCTTCCTTGTATTTAAAGAAGAGTGATGCCTCTGTAGTTCTCGCACTTGTTGAGATCGCCGTTCTTCGGTATCTTGGCCAGTTTTACTTTTTCCAGCCTGCTGGTACTTGTTCTTCATCACAAATCATGCTGAGGAGAATGTTGGGTATCTTTACAGTCACTGCTACGTCTTCCTTCCCTGCTTTTCACTGGTCATTCCGGTTTACAATAAGTTCCAGAGAGCTTCTTTATTGTATCACACAATTGTCTCATGTTTCCTCCTTATGCAGCCTTTTCCGCCCCCACTGCTAGATCTTCGACATTTGTCGGCTCTGATGCTCCGCGACGGCTGCAATTAAACGCAACTCAATTTCGTAAATGTGCCCTTCAGCTTAGCAACCAATCAGAATGAGGCGGGAATCATTACATCCGCCATCTTCGTAAGCAATGGCGGTCGGCTTTCTTCGTTCTGTGCTTCTTTCAGCCGTTTCTTTGTGTAGCTGTGTAATTTAATGTCTCAGTGAGCTAAAATGCCGCAGTTACTGTAATGTTCTATATGTTGGTGTGAAGTTTATTTCGAATTAGCGATGTTTTCTGGGTTTTTGCTGCTTCTACTCAAGTCAATGTATTTCTTCAGGCAATCTAGCTAGTCTTGTGTTATAAAATGTCGGCCGGCTTTCTTCGTTCTGTTTTTTCCGCTATTTCCTTTGTGTAGCTACAGAATTTAATGTTTCAGTGTGCTAATATCCGGAAGTTAGTGTAATACTCTAAACGTTGGAGCAAAATTTTTCCTGATTTCGCTTTGTTTTCTGGGTTTTACCTGCTGCTACTGAAGTCACTGTATTTGTTCAGCTAAGCTGGCCAGTACTAACGTAAGACCTTACGTTTTTAAACGACAGTCGGTTATGTTTTACCTTGTTTTCTAGATATCCAAAGCCGAAGTTCGTCTTTATTTAGCTAAAATATCTGTTTCTGTCGCTTGTGACTCTAACTGTTCGCATGTTCGTTCCTAACTGTCCTTTATGATGTTATCGGCAAAATGGAAGGAAACAATACGCGTTTTTTTAATTTTCTCCAGTATTATGGACAACACTATCCCACCAACGAGTCAAACTAATACAGAGTGCCCAGCAGTAGGGTATATCGGTATTGATTTCGAAAGAACCTAGACTTCCGACAACTATAGATGGAGTCACAGATGCTACCAATCTATTGCAGAGGGTTTGTTATGAAAAATATGCCATATAGCAGTAATAGAGGGGTTGTACTCATTACGCAGTGCGTTAAAGCAAGCTTAACATTGAAAAGCTGGAAATCTGCTACCAGTGTGTAGTGTATGTTTGCTGTTTTGACCATAAAAGGAAGCTGAAGGGTCATGATCAGGGAGTAAAAAGGTAATTAACTGTTATTAAGCTCACTTTTTTATTGATCATATTTCACCACTCGCACATTTGTGTTTTTTTACGGTATGATGTCAGCTGGTACCTAATATGTTCACCCTTACGATGAAAAGTACCTGCAAATTTTCACCTTCATATTCGAATTATTTTTGGACAACTGTCTTACAGTCTGAGTGCTTCGTACGCCCCGAGAAACTCTATTTCTACAACATTCGTGGTTCCAGTATAACTTTCTCACGCAGTAAGTTCAAATTAGACACTATTCTTTCTAAATAAGCCTGTTATGGACGGTTGGTTACTTAAGTAAATAAATAAATGAAAACTGAGATCTCACAGCTGTTTCGGTGTATCCATACAACATTGTCTATTAGTCTCAAAACGTGCAATACACATTCGTCAATATAAACCACACATTATAACTGCAATGAGCTTCCTGAACAAAAGACTGTCATTTAGCACCAATTTCCGTATATTTTACCCTTTGTGTGGATGAACGCTCGAGAGTGACAATAATGAAACCTGTAGTTTTCACGAGTGATAGGTTTTCAAACTGAACAAAGAAAATGTTTGTGTGCGTCAATCTCAACCGTCGAATGTTGTCAGTATCTTTGTGAAATTCAGATAAAACCGCCGTAAACAAATGGCTTTTACTCATGTGTAATTATTTTAACTCATATTGACTGTATAAGAAAGTTAGTTTCTAGGCAAGAAGTAGCCAATGCTGTATTTAGTTTTAAAAAAAGTAAAATCCTTTAGTGAAAATGTTAGTGTAAGTTTCGAGACATGTATCCTTAAAGAAGCCATTTAGGAAAAAAGCACTACAACTTCATTAAGACAGGCAACAAAAGTCATTTTGGCTCATTTTCACCCGAACTCACAGTACATTTCCCCACGGAGTACGGTCTTACTTAATCTTACTTTCCCTTTAGTTCCTTTTCTTCATTCGCTTGGAACACGTTAAACGTTGGATTTTTCTTAAGCCCCTCAAGCTTGTCTCACTAGTGATATCTTAACTGTAGGTGCAGTTGCATATCAGTACTCTGTAATTGAGATGAAACCGTTGCAGTGTGTTTGAATTATCGACTAATCCTAGTCAGATTTCCCATCAAATTGGACGCATCCATACACTGGAGAACAGACCGCTGAACTTTTGTTAGCTTATAAAACCTCATCAGGTTCCTAGACGACCAGCGTAAATGGATAGAAAATTTACGTGGCTTGAGTCACGACTTAATGATCATATTACTTGCTTATTTTTGTCGTATGTCAAATATACAAGTCTTCTGATGACATTTCACCCATGTCCTATGACCATCAAGAAAACGAAGTTACCTGGCTTCCAGGTTGTGGTGGGTAATGCTAGACATCTATCGCGTGGTGTGACTCTGAGTTACTGTTGCGGGACTGAAGTAGTCAATTCGTTTACGTTCAACTCCGATAGTTTAGCATCTACATTTATAGCTAATGCTAAGAAGGCAGAGGTCTCTATCGAGATAACTAAAGGGGAAGCATCACAGTCATCCATCTATTATGATTTTTGTGAATTTTCAGGTGAATTTGTTGCTGGATTATTTGTTTGAACATAAACATATCACAGAAAAAGTGGGTGAAAACCTGCTTTTGATTTTGAGCTAAACAAGAGTTACCTAGAAAACAATATTGGTGACTAAACCACAACAGTACAAAGCTGTCGCGAATATCATATAAGGAAGACTGACTTGCACAATACAAAACACAATCACCATTCATTTACAGCTAAGAAACGAAGGTCTATCGGGGGTTTCTAGGCAAAATGTCTAATTTCTTCACTAAACTAATACAGAAATACACGATGCACCATGTTTACATCAACAACAGACAGAATACTCTTGGTATGACTTCAGTCAAGAAATCTGAAAATGTCTCAGATGATCACGGTTTGACCGAGCTTTTGTTCATAACATCTGTATATTTGAAGAATGTCGACCCAGTCAAATCAGAAGGCATGAACGAAGGAAAACGAAGATATATATATTGTGTAGCGTCTGATATAAGCTATCTAGTTGAGTAGCATGGCGTAACCAATTGTGATTTGGTGCTGATCCGTGACCCAGAATCCTCAGCTAGGTGTCCAGTAGAACTAATGAGGTCAGCATCAACGTCAAAAACTTACCAAAGTATCTATTTTGGGGATTTATGCACCACTACAAACCTATCTAGAGTCACTTAGACTACTGAAGCTAAGTAGGGATTTTATACTTACTGGGCGTGATCAAAAATCTGTAGTTGATCTATAACACCAAGAACCCACCTAAGACAAGTTACTAGGTTTGTCTCAGCTTGGTTAAAAGAATATTGAACATATCAGAAGAGTTCGAGGTCCTTGATTTAATAACCTCATTCGGGATTAAAAATAACTGAATTGGCCAACATATACTATCTACCCTCTTACGTTTATACATATTTATGAGTGCTCTTTGTTTTACTTAGTTTAGTGAATATACGGTACTTTTTCGTATCGTAGTAACGACGAAGTTGAGATGTCTTTCCGCGAGATGAGGTTATTTACTGAAATGATGCGTTCCTTGGGTTACCCGCGCGTCATATCTTTGGAAAATTTTCGAACTCCGAATTTCCCTTTAGTTGCGGAAATCCTCAGATGGTTGGTTTGTCGGTATGACTTTTATGCTGACTTACCATCACGCCTTGACTCGGAACAAGATCGCGTTTTGTTTATTAAATCAGTAACACGCTTGATTTTTACTAAGGCATGTATTAAACTGAACAGCAAAAGACTTTACCAGGCAGATGGATATGCTGTAAGGGAACTTATAAAAGTAACTAGGATCTTATATGAAGCAATGCAAAATAGCAATTCCGAGTCCAAAGATGAACAGCATTGCCTCAATGTAACAGAAATCTTTGATTTTGATAAGGTGAGTGGTTTTGATCCGTTGATATACATAATTATGTGTGTAAATATCAGCTAAGGAATGACGTACAGGGGATTTTAGCTATCAAAGCAAGGGCATAAATGTTGGTTCATTCATCGTCAAGCTCTTGGAGTGTTTGAAATGTGCTTCCATGTTTGTGACAGATTTTTTATTTAGAAGTGACCTTATTTCAAATTGGATCTCGAAAAGTAAATATTCAGTTGTATGGATTAGAGTCTACATGGTTTACACGAGACCATTTAAATATCATAAATTGAGTATATTAATTTTTTAGAAACAATTTTAACTATCAGACGGTAACAGATGCCCAGCCGCTGTGATGTAGGCTTTGATGATAATACCTTCTAAATAAAGTAACCAACTGTGAGGCACGACCACTTTCTTTACTAACACTGGGTATTGGTGTATATACTTCCATTACCTTTTACAGACCACTTCCCTGAGTGCATATGTTCTGTTTTTGCCATCATGCTTAGTATATTGTTTAGTCTTACCTTGCTCAAGCTACTATGTTTCATCTTGTAATATTTATCCCACAATAATAATAGATTGAGGCTTATCATTTTTCGTTGTGATTATATTAACTAGGCGATGAAACCATGTAATTTTTATCATCAGAAATATCTAACGTTATGCATTTTATAGCTTTATTCAAAATTCATTTGCATAGATGAGTGGTGGCTAGCAGTGGAATACAGGAAGCGCGTCTCGTCCTATTTAGGACGATTCAAACAACTAATACAACATGAATTTATTTGAGGTTGCTTAAAGAATTCGCCTTTCACTTTTAAATTTTAGTCTCTAAAACATCCCCAGGTATATGAAGAAGTAGTATTTTTTCCAATAAATTTTCTCTAAGTTCTTCAGTTATGTAAACAAATTAGTAACACTAGAAAAGGTGAGGTTTAAGGAAAATGCATGTATGTTTATTTATGAGACTTTAGCAATAGATATTTTGTGTAACCAATCAGTTGCCTCACATATACATTCTCAAGTTTAGTACTTGGATTTGGTTAGCATTAGTATGTCAGGCTACTCTCTTGTCTTCAGATTCCTATTAAACATGATGCTTCCTAATTAAAATAGATTGTTCTTTAACTTTTACTACTAGCGTTTTAACAAGAATGTAGGTTTGCTGATGTTACTGCTCAGCCTGTTTATTTTTTGTGTACATCATGTAGCTGACTTGATACATGATGTTACCTCTTTCTCATTCGCACACAAAGGTGACGATGACTTGTGACTTCAAGTACTCAAAAACTCAAGATTAGTGACACTGGTGAGAGAATGAGCAGGATTGCACTGGTTTACGAGCTCGTGCACTAAAACGAAACAGAAATAGGTCAGAAGAAATGTGTTTTACTATACAACACCACATGTTTGTTATACTGCTCAAAGATGGGTAAATATGCTTCCAAAGTCACCTTCGAGTCAACGTGTATCTGCGGTTGCAAGTATGTTAGGAAAAGAAAGAAACGAGTTTCTACTATGTTTCCTGAACAGGGTCCTACAAACATACGCCTAAAAGGGAGTACAGTCTTCACAAGTGCAATCCCCTATGCATCTTTTGTGTAGTGAACATGAAGTGAATATTAGTAACGGATTTAAATTAGAAGGGAATTTGTTATGAATACAGTGGTCTTGAGTAATTGTCACTCCCTGGTTTCCTGCATCGTGAAAGGTTTCTTCTAGGGGTACCTGGAAAAGAAATTGAGTTAGAGTTGGTCTTAGTGACCTGAGAACGTGACCTTAGTGCCAAAGGGATAACTGTTTGAAACCGGTCACACACAACCTTTTCGCGGGTAACTTTGTGTTAGCTACGTACTTTTTGGGACCTTACCACCGGAGACTGATATTCGTGTGCATTCTAAGGGTCAATCTTTTCTAACCCCACACTTCCTTTGTGGGAAGGCACCATCGCTGTTATGCTAGTTGCCTGAAGGAAAAATCTTACTGCCATCACACCTCTGTACAGTCAGCAGTACGACTTCACCATCGAACCTTGGGTTTGCTGCTTTTAGTCTTACCGTACTTCAATCGACCTGTCTAGCATGGTGGGACCTTAAGAAACGATTGTTTTAGCCGATATAGCCCCAATGATTCGTCGAGATAGGCAAGTACGACCATCACGTCAAGGTGGCAGTAACGGTTGGCCAACTATTGTAACCAATGGTTAGAGACTCTGGGTGACATGGCTCAGAATCAATCACAATGGTGTAGGTGTATACACTTTTTGTCTTCTCTTAAACCGTGAGATTAAAATCACATTGTACCATTCTTTTTACGAACTAATTTTCTCTCTCTGTATCGTATCCTTATATGAAGTCCTTGTTTTTACTACCACTGAAGTAACTGTTTCTAGGAATTTGGTGTTCATTTTGTTGTGCTCATGAGGTATGACAACTTGGACCGATGCATATATGTGCCTGGTTTTACGTTGTAGCCTACTGACTGTCTGAATAGATTTAAACTCACTAACAGACAAACAGCACCAATTTCAATTACTTTTTTAAAGACAATTGTTATTAAACGTTTATTACCTAACCTATGCATACAGATAAAAGTGTGATTGTCCCTTTTCTGGTATGGTGACTGGGTATTCGTCAAATAACTTTTAATAGTCTTTTTAACCATTTCTGCATTTTCCGCCTCAATGCTCATCTCTTACATAATATAATTGGTGTTCATAAACTGATTTGGTTTTGTTTTTGATCATGTCGAGTGATTAATTAATTAACAGTTTCATTATCTTCAAATGACCTCTCTTATCTTGATTATGAATAATAGTGACTATATTACCCATTATAATTTTCATTACTACTTCTCAGGATATAAGTGCACATCGATTTTAACTGTTTTTTCATTCATTTTGTATCTCCACTTGGTCTTGTGATTTCGGTTATATTTTGAACGCTTATTTAAACTTTGAAAACAAAATTATTTTAGAAATTTGTTTACAAGTTTATTATTAATTGTAATTTCAGGCTGTATGCAGCTAATAAGAGGTGAAATGGAATGAATTTGTTTTATTCTGTAAAATTTGTTGTTCCTGCTCTTCCTAAATTTATTTATTTTTGTCTCAAGAGTCTACATCTACTTAGAATTTTTCGCAAGCTTTGTAAAATGTCATTCTACTTGTAATTTATTCAGTCGCAAGTTAAACACATTTTTCCTAATCGTAGTTCAGCGACTAAGATAAATGCATCTTTACATCGAAAGTTTGAATTCATTAAGGTTTACTCTACTTGTTATTCTCCCTAGCCCATACACATTTAACATAATCTACCACATGAGTTTCGTTTGTTTGACTGCTGCTCTTTATAAGAGTTTCTTATATAAAATTTTCAAATTATTTCGGCCTGTACGTTGTCGCATATGTAAGAAGTAGGATTTAGATCGTAGCAACAAATTTAATTCCATTTTTATCTGACATAAATGACCTAAAATGTGAATAGAAAAGTATTTCACTGACGAGTGAATCATTAAAAATTGAGAGGGATTGATAATAACCGCTACATTCGTACACTAAGCTAATTATTTCCAGCTTCGATTTTAATATAATGAAGAAGACTGCTTCTATTTTCTTTATTGCTACCGTCTAACTAGAATAAAAGGTCAGATTTTATATAAAAGCTTTCCTGATAGATTTTATTCAAATTGTATATCAATCATTAGTGATTGTTATTTACTGAGGAATTGTTAATAAATGTAGAATCATATTGGATTATTCAGTACAACAAGAAACATATTGAAAGTTAAGTGGGCGAAAGTTACTTTAAATAGATATGCGTTGTATTAGAAGATATAACATCTCAAACGAGAACATCGAATTATGCTGATATTTAAGACTCTCAGTAAAGCACATGCTTTTAGTACCCAGTGTTCTTCGTTTCACTTTTTCCGCTTTGTTATATGTCTTTTAGTCACTCATGCTAAACAGACATTTATTTTTTGTCTAGAACATTTAAAAATATTTGCATGTAAAACAAACTCAAGTTAACATGAATATCAGTTTGCCAAAATCGTTTTCTTTCACAGTTCCGAAAGAAAATATTGTTCTATAGTACCTTTGTTTGAATTTTAATGTCACTCACTACTAGCAATTAAAATTTCAAACTTTTTCATGACTTAACAATCAAGCTATTTCAAAGAAAACCTCATTGGTCAAATTTGGAAAGAGATGCATGAAACAAACAACAACGTAAATAGGTTTTTAGCATTTTGTGACAACAAACAGCTTTATTAACAGAAACGTGTTACCCAAGTTGAAACGATACAAAAAAACAATAAGCAAAGATATAACAATGACTAACAGAATTAATTTTTATGGAGAGTTGACTAGAAATCATTCAGTCATATTATAGCTATGATAAATTAAAAGTCACATCCAGAAATTTATATTATTCACAACATTAGAAAATGTTAATATTCGAGATTTTCATAATTTAACTGAAATCTACTTTTTGTTTCCCCAGGTTAAGCAACTTCAAGAGGCTAGAAATTTATGTAGTCAACTTGCATCATCTGGCGCTTCTTTAAATTCACTATTGAATAAAGAAGTAGATATTAAAGAATTACGTGAGACTTCGTTAAGACGTCAGATAGATCGAGAGTATGTCGAGGAATCTATAAAAACCGCCAAAAGTGCTATCAATGGTCAAATTGAAAAAATGCAATCATCACTTGTTAATATCACTGCCGATGAAACCAATTTAGATATGAAAATTGAAAAGAAACGCAGTGAATTGGAACGTAATCGTAAACGTTTATCTACATTACAATCTGTACGACCTGTATATATGGAAGAGTATGAACAATTAGAAGAGGAACTATCTTCACTTTATACTACTTACCTGACAAAATTTCGTAATCTTACATTCTTAGAAAGTCAATATGAGTGTCTTCTGGATAATATTAATCAAAATAATGAGGATACAGAAATTACTCTTAAAACTATAGCTGATCAAGTGAAAACATATTCGGTAGGTCGGAATGGTTATGAATTATGTGCTTGTGCGTGTGTGAAAACAATAAACAGTTTTTTTTAACAACATTAAGTATGTATTTGGATTGAATTATTTCATGATTATTTAACATGAATATGTAATTAAACAATCATAATAATATATATGTTTCCACCACATTGTGTGAAACTGATATTGTAATGAATCAAAATCTAAATTAACTCAGTTTCGGCGAGTTGAAATTTTGTCAAATCAATTGAATATTAGCACCAAATATAATAAAATGATTATCCAAAGTCTCCTTTATGAGTTGGCTGGAAAATCTTTCCCAATATTCACAAACCATACGAAGACCATAAGCAACCAGCAGAAAGACTAACACAAAGATAAACAACACTACATTTCTTTTTTTAATTATTTATTTGAATATTTAATATCATACTGCACACTGAATTTCTCACTTCCTTTCCATGTCTAAGGTTAAAGTTGAAATATTAACACTTAGTGAGATTGAATCCAATAGATTTCGATACTCAACTGTAATTAGGAATCCATATATCTTGACCTGGAGGGAACTGAGATGCGTGCAGTCACTGTTCAATAAGTGTATTTAGTGGAAAACGGCAAATTATATGTAAAAAGCAGGAAGAGAAAGGGGGGAATAACAGAACTTTGAGGTAAATCTACCCTGATGAGTGAATAAGGGAAACGCTTTTTAGATGAATATATCATTGTGCTTCAGAGAAACAAAGAATAACTAGACATTTAGACTGAAGCAGTCTACTATAATTTGGGGATATATGTTTCATATCTCCTACTACTTAATTACGAGACATATCTGCAGCATGGGCTACTTAACATCGTAGCTTGAGATTTGTCAGTAAGCTTTTCAGTCTCTGAAAGTTTCGAATGGAAGCGCATAGAATCTGCTGCTGTTACAATAATGATTGATACAATATTCACTACACTCAACAGTACAATGATTAAAACGGCTGCTGGGATTTAGTCTTTTCACACTGAGTCTTCAACTGTTTACTCTGATTACGTCATAACTCTATATCTCTGCTGACTACAATTTAGGAAATAATAGCTTTTCAATAATTCTGTGGTAAAAATGCATACACCGTACGACTCACTAATGATACAGTGATGGTTTGTTCAATTTGTTTTAATTTGGGATCAGAATGATATTATTTACTACGATTATAAGCAGTCCTTTAAACATAGAATTTGGCAGCCTGGTTGTCAACATTTACAGGCTTCAGCTGTTTTTGAGTAAATAAAGGTTGGATGCATACTGATCTCAATTACAAAGTAGACTGAAAATACCAGGCTGTTTGGAAGGTACAATAGCTAACAATTCAGATTGCCGAAACCACCACCTTGCTTCATTTTTGCGACACAAAAATTGGGATAAACCAAAGAAAGGGCACTGGATAAATTGATTGCTTACTGAACCAATTAGAGTTACTCCATGAATCACATGAAGATTTATGAGATTACTGGTTTCCGGTTTAGATTTAAGCTGACTGAAATGTCCCTTTTCAATATGTATTGATTTTAGAGTATTCATAAAACGAATCCAGTATTTATAATTTTTGGTTGTACATTAGGGGAATTAATGACATTTCTATGGGACTGTAGTGTCTAGCACTATGTCAAGCACACATGGGTCATTTCAGTTTTCGGGCAGACTAATAAACCATTCTTCTTGTGTCACATTTTGACCTTGACAACTATTCTCTTATTAACCTTGATGTTTTCTTCTGAGCGTATGTAAGTATATAGCTTGCCTTATTCGTCACGCGTCTTTAGTATACTTTTATCTAACCATAAATATTGAGTCACACTTCATCAAATGGAGTTATCAAGCTTGCCTGCTCTGCTTTGCTTCGGTTACCTGCTTCTCTTTACGTTAACGTTTGTCTGAATAAACAAGTGTCTGAAATAAATTCTTCCAACTCAACTCGTGCTTGGCTTATTATTACCACGGTCGCATAAACGTGTCAGCCTAGGTGTAATATACGGGGTTTAAATGGGAGATTTATATTCATTGAATATTAGTTTCTTTCGAACTGGAGTCAGATCAACAGTCCACTAAAGAGCTATCATAGTTTTCATCTAACTGTAAAAACGGGTATACAGTGTGTCAATGAATGCAGTTCTGTTGTTTGACTGTGAGACCTGTCCTCTTCTAGTTGAGGGTGTTCAGCGGCCACTATCCTGATCATCACTGTCTCCAAAAGACTGCCGATATCTGACAGCAACAGTGTACATAATATTAGTGCCCGCAAAGTATATTTGGGAACGGCTGTGGAAACTCAATTGGCGCTATAATTTTGAAAAATAGGTATCGTTGGCCTGTGGATGCCTTAATAATGTTATCCCTCAGACCTCCATACTGCGTTATTTGCTTATGCTAGGAGTAGATGGATAAAGTAGAGAGGTGGTTAGTTTATGATGTCGGGCTATGGTATCAAAAAAGCCATACGGAACTAGATTCTGTCTCCCCATCACGGACTCCTTGCTGGATGATCCCAGAAATCACAGAACTTAGTGGCTTTTAGTGTTATCAAACATAGCTCAGAATAGAAGCCAGTTACGATCATGCTAGCTCTTCCTATTGTTTTTTCATCAAAAGTAGCGTAACCCGTTTTTACTCAACGGAAGTAACCTTGACTGTATTTCTAGCTGAACTATATCTCTTATCGAACACTACTTGTTTGTTTACTTTAATTATTGACCATAAAACTTCTCACTATTCCACTTCTTTTTGATGTTATCACACATTATGTGAAGCATTTATTTTGATTTCCGATATACCAAAGTAAATATTTTTATCAGTAGACTTTTATGTCAACTTTTCTTGAATTTGTTCTTCTTCTGCATTTATAAGTTACTTCTTTACAAACATTCAAACAATAGATACTTCATTAAGTGTAATAATGAAAAAGTAACTAATGCGTTACAGCAAAAATATACATGACCAAATATCATGTGGAGACTAATGTGATACTACTACTCGTTTTTCCGAAGTCTCTATCCATAGGAAAGGTCCGGATTTGTAACTAGGTAATTCAGATTTTGTTCCATGAACTAATAAATTCTGTGTATATTGATAATCACTGTATTTTTATTTTCGTTTAGCTTAGAGATGAGAATCAGAAAACTGTTTCGTATTGTGAAGATGAAAATACCTTTAAGAATCCATTAAATTTAAAAACTAATGCTGAAGAATATGGTAGCTTTGGTGCTGGGGATGATAACGATACGAGTGATAACGATGATATTGATGAAGATGATGATTCAGTCGATGATCAAGATAATCAAATTGAAAATGCTGAAGATATCGTTGCAAATGATAATTCATTTCATCAAAGCAGTAATGGGAATACTATAAAACGTGGACTTGCAAGAAATCAACTCAAACCTGAATGGTCTCCTGGTCATCAACGTATTTCAGGTGCGAGTTATCATGGTAGAAATCTAAGTTCGAATAACAGTGATGATTTTCAAGTAAATGAAGGGAGTTATCGGTCTACAAATATGGATGAATCATTGTTAACAAAACGATCACAGAAAGTAAGTCCAAAATGAACTAAATTTATTTCTAAATATTAACAGTAGAAGTGCCATATTTAAAGAGATTAAAATATCACCTGAACTGGCAAACGGAACGGTTAGCAAGGCAACCACAAGACAAGCTAAACTATTCACTGCGCCTCAGTCATTGTGACTAAAGAGAGAAGACCAGATTCAGACGAGGGGAAAGTATATTACAAAGCAGTCCGAAAGGTCGAGCGAACAAGCACACAACTCAAGTGTATATATATATAGTACAAAAATGTCCTTGAGAAACGTAACGTCACAAAGTAGCGTACTAAAAGAGGAAACGAACTGGTGATATTTAGGTTCTTCCCAAGTGGAAAATACAAACTGAAGGTAAAAGTGGGCGCTTTCGGCGCGAAAATGAGAAGTTCAAATTTTCAAAATAAAATTACAAAATGAGACGTTTGCCAAGTGATTCATGGAGATCTAGCATCCCCCAAAAAATGTTAGGCTTTTCCTGTCGTCACTTTGGTCGTCATTTGATAGATTACGTAAACAGTGCTAACTATTTCAAGTTGAAAAATGTTTATATTTATCTAAATTACAGTTTAATAATATTGTGTTTATTGTGCTATCAAAATTTAGCCATTCGAGTACATAAAGTACACATTAATTTTTTGTAGCTCTGGATTTTCAGTAAATCTAATTGACCATCACTGTTTTAAGTTCTGTTTCACTCACAATTTTTATGCAGTCTACTATCATCCATCAATATATCCTTTAGAAATTACTTATTTAATATTAATATTTTTATTGTCTCTCGATGTGCTAATTCGATGTATTACAACTTTAACCAATCCACATTTGTGTTGAATTGGACATAGTTCCATGAATTTGCCTCTTTTAGAAAACGAGTCATTCGGAGTAAGGGTTAACTATACTCTAATTCGCAACTTTGACTTTGCATCTGACTACAAACAAAAGTGAAGCGGGAATTATTATTTATGCTATCGTAATCCATGATGGAGGGTGTGTTTCGTTCTCTGTCTTTTTTACTGGCATGAATGAAAATTTTAAAGTTTTCTACGATGAAAATACCACTCCATCATGCTACGGACGTGTCAAGTGTAGCTCACTTAGTCATGATGAAAGAGAAATTATAACATCAAAAGTCATACCTGCAATTAATTATTTGCTAGAAAACTATTCCAAAATATCTACAATTGAGTGACTAAGTCAACGAAAACATAACCATCATTACAGACTACGATACACTAAAAATAATATATTTGTAATATCCCAATGAGTAGAAAATTGGATTTTTCTGACGTTTCGTGGCTTAGTGTAAGTCACTTCTTCAGAGAATAAATAACCAAATTAAATTAATCCAAGTTTAAATAGTACAACGGAACAATGTTGTTCCGTTGTACTATTTAAACTTGGATTAATTTAATTTGGTTATTTATTCTCTGAAGAAGTGACTTACACTAAGCCACGAAACGTCAGAAAAATCCAATTTTCTACTCATTGGGATATTACAAATATATTATTTTTATTTATAACAATCAACCCAATGCTCAATTTATTCGAAATTATCAAATCAAACCTCGGTAATGACACCTACGATACACTAAGATGATTTGACAACGTAGAGCTTATTGTGAGCCGACTAAGATGAAAAGAGTGTGTACTGTCATCTAAAATTTTATCTAACCTCATCTGGATATAAATCCTGTATAAAATCAGCATTATAATGGACCAGGATCTGAATAAAAATTGCCATTCATAGACTAGAATTTTAGTCTATTGTTTCTATTGTTTTCGGAAATGAATTATTGATCAGTGAAGTTTATGTTAAATGAAAATGACTATGAAATTGTGTAGTAATAGTATTTAGTACAATGAAGTCAGTCAAAAGTGGTTAATGACTGAAATTTAAAAACAAACATGTTTTTGGTGAATACTGTAATAATTTTTATGACTGGGTAACAAATAGATCAGTATAGGAGAGTGTGAAGATTATAAAATGTTATTAATATCACGAACCAAACTAAGTTAGATACCCGTTAAAAACTAAGAAGCATTAAACACTTGTTTAATCCTATTATGGGGCTCCTCGGTTGTGTCCATCTATAACTCCATCAAGGATCTAACTCAGAATTTTCGGTCTCGTGCACTAACACTTAATCTCTAAACCACCTAACCAGGACTCACTGTCGTACATGTCTAACTTCATTAAACTTGTAATGCTGCACAACTATCTTCCATTGTTAATAATAAATATGTATTTTTGTTATATCCCAATGAATAATTTCGGTTATTTGTTTACTCTGAAGAAGCGGCTTACACTAAGTCACGAAACGTCAAAAATTCAATTCTTCTCATCACTGGGTTATAAATTAAATTACTACAATCTCTACAAAACCCCTCTATGATTATAATCATCATATGCTCGTTAGTGACTGTCTCTATGGGTTACTTCCTGGAGTTCTGGTGAGAAGCCGTGATCCGTGGAGTTCAACTGGGTCTACTGTGAGACAGTAACTCACTTAGGACAATGGTGGACGGTGGCGCAATTTCGTGGATTGGTTAAAGTTAGACATTAACACCGTTCAGTGCCGACTCAGTGGTCTGGAAGTTAAGCGTTCGCGCGCGAGATCAAAGACCCTGGGTTTGAATCACACGAGCGAGATCGTGGATTCGCACTGCTGAGGAGTCCCATACTAGGATGAAACGGCCGTCCAATGCTTTCAGGTTTTCGAGGGTGGTCTAGCTTCAATTGGCTCATGAACTCAATTATTACATTGGGTTATAACAAAAAAATGTATTTATTATTAACTTTCTACCCAATTCTCAATCTATTTGAAACTATCTTCCATTGTCTTCGGAGTCTTTTTGTTTAATTTTGAAGAGTTCAGTATTAATCCTATATTAATAATCATGACTATTACAGGGATACTAATGAGCTATTATAAGTTGCGTTTTATTATCTGTTGGACATTAGAAATGTTGACTGAAAATCGATTATTATCAGAATTTAAGGTTTATTAATCTTTGTCTTTGAGTATCCCTGTATTTTACGTTTCCAAAAGATTGATAAATGGAAAATCGGGATAGTTTTTAAGCAGTCCATTGTGCCGAATACAACAATTCCGTCTCCAATAGATCATATGTGAGTGGAAGTAATGTGATTCGAAGAGAAAACAGCCTTGTATATTTATATGAAGTTATGTCCCACACATTTTATAAACTACCTGGTTACTGAAACCCAGTTAAACGAGATTCAAACCGGTGACTGGATAGTAATGCTTGGTGTTTTAGGAACATAGCTAAGACTCTAAACAAATGCGTAGACTAAAGACATATGGTTTACTTGAAATAATAACTGAACAGTTTCTAACCGCTCTTCAGAGATTTCCTTAAACGTATTCTTTCAAAGGAGATTTTTAACTATCTGTTTAGACAATCAACGTTGATCATAAACACCGTAGAGCCCAGACAAATTATATATTGGCCTTAACTGTTATACTATAATAGCACAGAGGCTGAAAACTGACGATATTTATGAAAAAGAAGTAGATGTACTAGTAGCATTTATAAACATAGAGAATATAATTTAGAAAGGATGAATGAAATTGAGGAATAGACAGTATGAAACAGCAATAAAAACAAGCTTAAAAGACGGAATGAACGAATTCCGATTTTCACAAATTGTTTTGATTCACGTTTGGACAAGAACTAGTAGAGTGCAAAGTGAATATTTCGATAAGCCAGATATTAAAGAGAATTTCTCTTATAATATTGAAAGTATACTGAGCACTGACCAGGTTTATTATTTATTACTATCATGTTTCATTTGTTTCATCTACTAATTCCAACGTAATGGTTAATCGTTAGGTCAACTGAACTTTATTTTTATATCTACTTACGATTAATAACTAAAAGTCTTTCTATTACTACATTTAATAGTTTTATTTTGTCCAAACAATGGCTTATTTCATTTTTAGTTCAGAAAAGGAGTTTGTTCTTCAGACAACAGTCGAATGATATCCTTTCTTTCCATTTATACCAGTAGGAAATATCTGTTGAATCTGATTGAGATACACTATTTACATACCTTTGGTTATTAATGATTAAGCATTACCTTGTAAATTTACTAAAACCATTAAGTGTTTGGTTTTAAGCAAGATAGGTAGGTCAGTAAAAAAATACTTTGTTTCAAACAAATACTTAGTCAGGTACAGGTTCGTTGACTAGTGTAGAGGGGAAACAGGAAAGACCTCAAAGTGATCATTTTAGGGCATAATTCATTTAAGTGATAATTCATATAAGTCACAGTCTATCCTATTTAAAAACTTCTCTTTCTGACGTTTTTTTTGAAGTGGAGAAAATCTTAGGTTTACCGGTTATGTCATATAGTATTCGTATCTTGAGTTTAGTGGTATTAATTGAATGATTGTAGTCTTCCAACATATACACTTCCGCTTATTCTTCAGTAACTAACACTATTCATTTATCTAAACTCATTCGATATCCTATGACTTTCATACGCTATTTAGTTTAAGGTAATCGCCTTTTAGATAAAATTTAATGTGCTATATTTTGTTATGCCTATGAAGCACCTTGTCTAATACCAGGTGGCGAATTTGTGACTATTTCTTGTAACTACCAATATCGCGGTTTAGTATCATTTAGGTTAGAAAACGATAATCAAAAATGCAACTAGTCAATAATCATTGTGTTTTATATTATTATTAGTACCACCACTACTATTATTAATACTACTCTATTGTTCACATAATTTTGTTTAATTCAACAGGATAATTATCCAACAACAAATGTTGAAAATGAAAAGCAAACATATTTGAAGCATGCACTTCATTCTGAAGAAAATGAACACGATGATTTTTGAGTGAATTATGAATTTGCTAGTGATTTATTTATTTCCACAAACTGTATAATAAAAAGTTATTACAAAAAGAAGCACTTCTAGTGTCGGTTATTATGTTTAGTCCATATACCTTATTCTAGCTTTCGGACAGCTCAGTCTATTCATCCTACTTGAGTTACATTCTGACCTTGTTAATTATTCGCTTATCAATCTTGGATGTTTTTATAGAGCGTAGGTGTGTGTACATTTCTTCTCCCATTCATCACATGTCTGTAACTTATTTTCGCGTAACTACAACTATTGATTAATGCTTGACTAAATGAGAGTTGGCTTACCAGCCATCTCCACTGCGCGTCGTTTTGCTTTGTTCTATTCTATCCGCTTTATATACAAAATATATGTATTCAGAAGTCCATTCTCGTTATTTGAGTTATTTAATTCCGTTACTGACTAACGCAATTTAAGTCGAGGATTATATACGAGGATATGTGATAACTAACATTCATACGATCTACTTGGAGTCAGATCTCGGGCCATTAGAGTGGAGAGCCTTTTCGACAACATCGTCCGATCTAAATAACGACAAAATAAAAGGCCCCACAAAACATTATTTATTCTTCTAAAAAGTCTCTCTAATTGAATAACATTACTGATGGAAGTATAAAATCAGGTTAATTGTAAAGTATCTTCATTTTCTGTTGTTTATTTTGAGAATCTGAGATTCGAACAATCCCTGTCATTGTATAAACTTGATTCTTAACTGGATTTGCAAATTGATTACATTTTGGTTAGTGTCTAAGAGAGGTTCAAGTAAAAACTAGAAATTCTTAAAAGTAATCAACAATATATTGGTTAGCGTTGACACGAGGACGCAGGTACATCCAGACAGAATATCCTGACCAAACTCAAATAATATAAGAAACATGTTGAAAAGTCTGTTGTTAGCCATTATTCAAAATATAATGAAATATGGTAATGGCATCTGTGATGAGGGAATTACGTTAAATTATATGCCGTAAAAACTTTATATGGTTTAAGCACTTACTACAAAAGATCTGGTCAGTTAGAACATTTAGATCATTTCGTCCAAAGCAAAAGACAGGTTCAGTTTAAAAAATACAACCAACAGACGAAACTGCAGTAAACTGTTGTATTTTTTTAATTCGTGTCCACTTAACACACTGGAAGTAAATTTTTTAATTGAGAACGTTTTTACTTAAATTAAAAGATATTGAAGCAAAGGTTAATTAGTGTAGTAAAAACGGACACCCCATTATAAGGATAGACAGGGCAACTGATGTAAAAACAGGGTGAGGAATAATTGAGATGATAATTTCCATTGTTTAGAGAATCTTCTCACAATGTTTCAAGTCTGATTGTTGTTAATAACGTTGGTGATTGACAGAAACTGAAGGTTATGTTTTGCAATATATTGTTTGTCTTTAAACATAATAGTCTTTTTAGTCCAAGCACGATGAATTATTGAAAACGGATAAGTCAGATAAACTGCTGACTTCAGTCCTGCTTTATTTGAGTGGTTAAAGTTGGTATTTTAAGTGAATGATCACAATCAAGAATGAATTGGGCGGATATTCTGAATGAGGAGTCCAACTGTCTTATTTAAAATTGTATTAACACTTTCATTTTAGGGAAACATATTTGACAATGCCTCTGCATAATGACATTTAAATGTTTAGTTTCACAGAAAATATATCTCTGGTTAGAACATTCGTGTTTTCTAAATATATGGCAATCCTCTTAAGTGCATATATTATTTCAGAGCTCGTGATTCACAATGAGGGCATTTAAACCTTGTCTGGTTGACTTAGCTTCAAATCATATTACCTTTTACTTCTCTAAAAGGGTTTTGGTTTTGACTAGCTTTGAAATAATACCTTCAGTCACATCTTTCTTTTTATTTCTTCAAAGCTTACGGGATGATAAATACACCAGGATTAAAAAGGAGGCTGAACAGTCAGACAAAACGCGTAAAGATAATATCTTGCTTAAAACTGTTCAAGAGTATTTCATGCAAACAAAGACTTCTGTGCTTGAGGTATATGTATCGAAAGAATTGTTTAAAAATCACAAAATATACGTGAGCTGGGAAGGGAATGAATCATGTCAATATTATTCATCTCATATTTTGTCCAGGATGAAATCGGGTACAATAATGTGATCGAATGCCTTTTTTAATCATTTTAACATTCATAGACTAGTGAGCCAAAGAAGTCAGCACTGTTTTTGCTTAGTAACTAATCCTGAAGTTCATGTTTGTTGTATTGATATGTATCATTTTTAATTTACAACCGAACGTAACATCATCTCACCCAATTAGAATGAACGAAATCTCTTGTTATGATTTTTCTTCATCAATTTACATAAGTGTTCAGAGTCATATCTAAATGAATGTGAAAATAATGACGTTCCTCATAATTCCTAATCATCCAGACACGTTGAGAAGTAAAAGTATCTGAAGAATGACTTTATCACAGGCTGATACCATTTAAAACATCAGTCGAAAAAAGTAGAGAAGTTATTACATACTCTTCTGGGACTCCTCAGCAGTATGCATCCCCAACCCCTTACCGAATCAAAATAAGAATCTATAAGTCTTGGGTAAAGCAGATTACTATCAAACCATTGTGCTAAAATCCAGCTATCTATAAACGTTAGTGATATGATCTACCATCAAAGTAATTAAATAGCTTTTAGATTTACTAGTTATTGGTCTGCCCCCGATTGCTACCTTGTTTTTAATATTTAATATTTATTCGTGAGTCATAGTGGTTATATACATATGTATCTACAACCAACTTCTACTTTTTCGGAAGTCACTCAAACTTCTTACCGCATAATCTTTACTTAAAATGACTTAAGCTGAAGCTTGTTAGCTCTTCGATTGAGAACACATAATAGATGAGAGGGGTAGTAGTGAACTTTATTTATAAGACCTGTACCTTGTTTTTATTAGACGTGAATAGAATAAGTGTTTGCTGAAGATAGAATCGTGATGTAACTTTACGTATGGTCAAGTAACTGAGTGAGCTCTAGATGCGTTTATTTGAAATATATATATATATAATAACAAATCAAGGTTTTATAAGCATCTTAAAGAACATGAAAATGTTAGTTGTTCTCGGTCATCTCTTCCATATTTATTTAGAATAAAGGAAACTGACAAGCGTTTTTCACTGTGAGGAAACTATAACTGTTATAATTTGTTCTTATTCCAAGTCATTGATAATAACTAATTATTGTTATCATCTTTAATTTTGTTCTAAACGAAAATCAAATTGTGTAGATATATATTACTTACAGAATAAAAGCAATATTGCAAAGAAAAATTCGGAAAAAGCAATCCTTTTCAAAGTTGAATACTCATGATATAATTAATATGATATAAACCTGTAGTATTTAAGAATAAATATAAGACAATCTAAATTTTTACTGATGAAAAAACAAGCAGAAATCAAGAATGACATTGTGACTTTTTACATAAGATTCTGATTGAAAAGACAAGGACTTTTAATTATGTTTTGTATATGTTCATTATTCTTACTTCACAGAAGTAACAGTTTTTGTACAATTGCCGCTGGTACGATTTTCATTCCTTAATTGGTAGGTTGTTGTCGTCGTTAGTTGATTACAATCAGTTATATTGGCCCCATGCTGTTGTACATTATAATTGTCTCCCATTCCATACGGATAATGATAATGATTATAATAATTGTTACCATACATGATATTTGAGTTATTTTCAAAACAACTGAAAAGATTGTTGTTTGTTGGATTTATTCCATCTAGAATAATACCAGAATCCATACTTGTACGGTGTTGACAAATTTCCACGTCGGAATTACACAATGTGGACAACGTCAACTGATAATTTTTCATCATAGATATTGAATTCTGTGTTAAAGTTATTTTTGGTTCCCTAATAGATTTTGGAAAGTTGACAAGTGTAGGATTCCATGGCCATGTTATCGTTATCCATCCAAGAATATTATTTAATGTTTTAAATATATTGTTTAAAGGTTCTTTTTTTGTCGGCATAGTAGAGGTCGTTACATTTTTTATATCCTTAAACAAAATAGGCACCAACATATTATTCCATAAGTCAAGAAACCAGTTTAATGACAGCTGTGAATGCATTGGACATGTTAGAAATGTTCGTATACCGAAAATAGTGAACTGGTTTGATTGTAGCAATGAATAAGGAATTTCATTTAGTTGATTCCAAAATTCAGTTAACCATGAAATCAAATGGTTAAGATTTTTATCTTCAACTTGTGTTACAAATTTATCCAAAGAATCTTTATCTTCGTTAAATCCATGTGAAGAATAAAATTCATTAAATAAACGATATTGAATTAATTTACGGTTTAAGCTTCTTTCTAAGTATTCTTTTGCATCGTTTATATCGGACAAATGATTTATAACTCTGCCAATTGAAATAAAGGTAGTGGTTTTATTAATATGCAAAAAGGTTATGCTACACATATCCTCAAATTGTACACCTTTTAAAGTAATGAAATGCAGCAAATTACTACTGAATAATAGTGATGCTTTGAAATAATTAATCGCAAGAAAAACAGCCATATGACATTAACGATTATTTCTGTAGAACAATTAGAAGACATAGTTGGTCTGATCAACTAGCTGACTAATTGTTGCAAACGATTGTGTTTTTAAGTGCAAATCACGATGTAACATAGTGGGTTGATTATTAATTTCCATGATAGATAAATCACTAGATAGCTTGCTAGATAAAGTTATAAATGAAGAACAGATTTTTTTAAAATCTGAAATTGGTGTTCCATATCATATGATATTCTAGTTCTTAGTAAACAATAATATAATATAATACCAACGTTGTGTAAACATGGCTATTTTAGATAAGAATCAGTGATGAACCATATTTACACAAAAATCCTAAGATTCGAAGTTGTATTTGGATTTCTTGCAAGAGCCAAATGTCAAAGGGTGTAAATTCCTAAAACTTATGTTGGTATGATACATATAATATTTAGGAATAGCGGAGGAGAATTCACTGCCATGACATAGCATAAAACTCAGGCTCAGAGCAATACTTATTACGATGCCAGTTGTGTTAGAAAACCTGGTCAATAAGGTATGTTCATTTTTTGTTTGCTTAAAAAGCACAAGGAAATTATGTTACAAGCGATAGTAGGACTTTGGGGGACTCAGGGTGTATAAACTGTCGTGTATTTGGTTTCTAAATCATTGTTCGTTAAGGTTATCTGGTCAAATAGTTGACGACAAGAAATTCAACTGCGTTTACTATAACACTAGTGTTTCAAGTGGGGAGGAATGAACTGGCTGTGTGTTAAAACACATATTTGAATGACTTAAAGAACAGTTGTACTTCAAAATCATAATAACCTTAAGTGTCAATTAACTTTCATGTTTTATCACTAAATATTCAGTAGAAAACTTCCGTAAAAAAGCTTTTATAGATTTTTTGAATGTCTATAGAATTTCTCCGGAGTGGATACTTAGACTTTCGAAAATCGTACACAAATGGGAATTAAAATCTTTATTATATCATGAAAATATTTGTTCAAATTTCAAACTCAACGTGACAACCTTCATTTCATCTTTTAATGTCTTGATTGATGTCAAAATTTACTATTTCTTCATCATGTCTTATTTGTTTTGATATTTTTGATAGTAATTTGTTTAGTTAAGATCTTCATCATACAACCTGTTTTCCGACTAAGTGCAAATGAAACACTTCTGGATTAAATATTTGCCTATGGAAGCTAAATATTGGTGAATATTTAACACTAAACTGTGGCACTCCTTTTCCTGGAGAAACGATATTGTGTAGCCTTCATTTGCTAAATGAATCACAAATTTGATGAACTCACTTTATCTGATTATCTATCAGAAACTTCTCAAGTTCTAAGTTACCAGTTCCACTAGTTCCTATAATCTTAGGACTAAAAGAAAAAAGAGTTATAATGTAAAGTGTATTGATTAAAGAAAATGTGCAATGTAAATTAGATAATACAGAAAAGTAAAGATTTAAATTTTGATTATGTCTATGTGTCCTGACCTTATATCAATGGTTGATCCAGGACTTGGAGAAATAGAACGAGCACTAGAGATCTAGTTGAAGAAAATTGAGTAATTTAATAGAGATGAAATGGGAATTTGTCATAGTGATATTGAGTTTTCCGAGCTGCAGTACGTCTTTCAAATAATCTAGTCAAGGCTTTAAATAATGTGTGTTATAACAGAAGTTGATGATATTTTCCTTTTGATGTATTGAGAGCGAAATGCAGTTCTAAAACCATTCCTTATTATGATATTTTTTAGATTAAAGCAAGACATCTTCCTATCGAAACCCTTTGTTTAAGCGCTTATTAGTTTAAAACACTTTTCTCGAAACCTCACCTATCATTTGTGATTTATTGTTTTAAGTGTTTACCAAATTGCAATTTAGTGGGAGTTGATTTTCACCTGAAAAAATCTTGCCCTGAAGACTCTTGTAGCATAAAGATCAGCATATGAAATGAGATGTCATTCAAAGGAATTCAGTGATAACTTTTGAACATGTAAGCAATAATATAAAACATAGTCGTTTTATTTATTCACTGACTATCAGCGTTAAAAAGGTTTAATTTAAGTCTATAATGAGAATAGCGTAGGCAATGAGTTAAGAGAACGACTTACTATATTTAGTGTTTACTAATTAGAATCAACATTTAGAGATTTGCAATTTAGTTGGGATTCTTTTCTTGTCGATATAGAAGAAAAAACTGGACTGTAATTAAAAGTAGGCTAACTGTGCATTAATCGTTTCGACCGTCAGTAGATGGAATAAAAATTCGTATACAACAATAATTCAAACATATATATATAGTTTGAAAATAATCCTATTAAAGTCTATTCCTCTATTTTATTATTTAATATGCAACATTCAACTATTTGGATATGATCATTTTAACTTGGTTGGTTACAAATTATTTGTTGTTATTGGTAGTATGTTGTCTTTTATGGATTACATTTAAAGTTTACAGGGAAAAGAACTTCAAGAAGTACTAAGTTACGATATTTACTTGATTAATTGTATGTCTAACTAAATTTTCAGTAAATATGAGAGTTACTAAATTGATTTAATTCTCATCACAATTACTTCAAAATTATAGAAATATTCTGGAATACATACAGCCTTTACTTACCAGTTCGAAGAAAATGTCAATATACTGAAAAGGTCTGAAAGTGACCCTTGAAAATGATGAATATTGAGTAAGTTTATTACTTCGGGGTAACCGTAATTTGTGAATGAATTTAACTGCTGACTTAGCGTATTCTTCAATTCTTTAACAGTTGTACTTCCATCGTGTTTAAAGCAAAAATTGTAAACTGCATTCTTATATGTGGACTGAAAATGTGTATCATTTAAGAATAAAGGTTACATACGTGCTGCAAAGATTATAAGCATGATTAGTCAAATTAAGTTCAAGATATAAATCATTCCAGTGGAAAATCATTTAAAGGGTTTGTCGAATTCCACAGACACAATTCACGATAATATCAGAAAGTAAGAATATTTCGGGTAAAGTTCATCAACCAACAATACGGACATTAACTTGACTAAAAACTGACCTAATTCAACGTAATTCTGTTGCGCCTCTTTGAACAACTCACTCGTAACTTATCAAGGGTTTTTTCAAAACATTAAATAGCACTGGGTTTAATTTTTTCTGATCTAACACAAATATTATACGTCAAAATAATAAGAGAAAGAAGTATAACGTGTCTGTGTACAAAATTCTTATCTGAAAACTGGGGCTGTTGAAGATCACCAAAAATCTACTGTGCAATGCACAAATGGATTTTAAATGAAACATGACTAATCAAATGACTACTTTTTTCAGTCTCTTTTACACACATACACACAAAGAATATTTAGCATACATACAGGAGTAATGGGGATCAGGGTTTTTGTCATACATCTTTTGATGAAAAATGATAGCGTTGCTCAATAATATTAGTAAAGTTGGAAGTTCGAATTATTGGATATCACGTTGTTAGTGTAAGGGTTAAGCTCACATTGTAAAATCGAAATGTATTTAAATTAATTCATGTCAAAACCTTGGAAGTGTAGTGGTAATGAGCCCCATACTGGAAAAAAATTACTGTCTAATGCTCACTAGTTTTCAATGATAGTGTATATAAAGTTTGTTCGTGATGTAAATTACAATATTACTTAATAGTAGTAACTGCGTATAATTTATTTTCTTCCTTACGTATGTCTAAATTTACATAAAATTACGTTACTCTATTGAAAACTATCTGAATAAAACAATTCGTTTATCTACGAAACTAAAATAAACTGTAATTGTGGGTAACTGAGATGAATAAATTTTATTAAATTAACCTCATTTTAATCTAAACGTGATCTGCCTTCTAAAATACTTGCAATATATTTTCACTAGAATGCTGAAACATATGAATGATGTCGTTCTTTGGACATGTCCCTATTTTTATTTTCCTTTCAACTTAAGATAGGATATGAAGAGCTTCCAGTGATGTTTCAGTCACCATTATCATATTAACTACAGGTAGTGTATACCTAGTGAATTTCATACATGTGATCTATTTTAAGTCAAATAACGTTAAATGTTTCGCGCAACGTCTGCTTATTGAACGATCTGTTGATAAACATCTGGTCTGTTTAACCTTGAGTTTTATTCAGAGATTATTGTTGGTCATTGTGTTTGACGTTTGATGACTTCGTTCATCACTCATATTCCGATATGTTCAAAGTTTCTCTGTTTTGGCACTCATGACGATTTTTTTCAATTAGACGTTGATATATTTTTAATTTTTGATAACACTTTGGATACTTCAGTTTCGTGAATTTTTACGCAGTCGTCTTTGGATATCTGAACCTAAGTTAACCTAGTTTCTACCGCTTTTATCGGATGAACGTTTCCTTTCCGCATAGCAGTTTCTTTCTCTCTCTCTCTCTCTCTCTCTCTCTCTCTATATATATATATATATATATATATATATATATATATACTTGAAAGAGCCTTCGAGATCAGCACACAGAACGATTAACAATGTAGTTTTCATTATTAAAAACCAGTAGTCATTCTGTACAGAATTAACTTACTTTGCAACCAAAATTTTAGTTAAGTCGTTTACTAACTGAGACTTCCCAGTTCCACTTGCTCCATATATTATCACTATTGAATTGTCTCGAATGGTAGATAAGTATGTATTTAATGTAATCAATGGTATTAAACTTCCAAAACATACGTATTTTAACATTTCTTTTTGTTCAAACACTTGTTGATGTGGTGGTTTTGGATCTTTTTGTAACGGGAATTTCATTGTGCAACCTTTTAAATGAATTTGTATTGATAATGTATAATGTTTAGTGTCATGTTTATTGATCATATCATTTATCCAAACAATTGGGGATTGTGAATAAATCTGTTCATCTGTATATGCTGTAGGTAATAATATTGTACAAGAGATCTGCAACTGACTTTCAGTTGATGATGATAAAGTAGGGGGAGTAAAGGATCGTACAATACTTTGTGTTTTTACTTCGTTTTGTTCAGTGAATGTGAAATTTAATTGGTAGGCTTGTAGTTCAAGTGATTCCAACTGTAATTGATTATTAGGATCCAAGAAATTAATGTAATACTGTAGATTAAGAAAACAGTGTGATTGTGTTATGATCAGTGTTTTAGACATAAAATGATATTGTCAGTTAACATTACAATATTTTTTCTACCGAAGCTAACATATTCGTAGGTAATTAGTCGTTGTTTCTACGTTATAAAACTTAAATTACATCATGAAAACGTACTGAAACAATAAACTTCGTAAAGTATAAAGCATAGTTTGATTTTTATTTTATTCTGTGCATAATAATTGGTAACAAATGAAATTTAGACATGAGTAACAGTAGTTTTTGTAAAGCTCCAGTTGGATAATGTAAAGGTGATGTGTACAAATTTTCTTACAACCCAGCATTTTTTCATAATTTAAATAATCATTGCCAGAAATGTTTCCTAATCTAGATATTCACTTTAAGTAAGCAGTAGACATTTGACTATCTTTCTGTGGTTGGTAGATAAGGGACCTTCCATAACAATGAAATGGTTCCAACTAAACTGTCTAACATCAGGATTTTTAATTTACTCAAAATCTAACTCAGCTGTCTTGTCGAATAAACCAAATGCCCATTTCCTATGTTTTTCTTCAACGACTAACATAAGATGGATCACTAATGGAAGGTACGGAGAACTAGTCGGTTGGTCCTTAGTGGTATGAAAAACACCAGGAACATGAAAAACCTTCAGGTTCTGCGTCTAAACTAGTGTATAGCCGTTGATGAAAACTGTTGAGAAGTACAATAATGAATTATCAAATTGTTTGAAGTCGTGAAAACCATGTACAAAACGAACATAAAATGCACCAAAAAATGCGCTATGATAACTTTCAGAAAAAAAGTAGCAAAGAATCACTCGTCTGTAAAGCACATGGTTCTGTCTTGCCTGTTTTACATTTTCACTGGACTTTCATGGCCTTTTTAGTTGTCGGATTTTCTCAGTTTTTAAATTTACCAAATAATAGACATGAAAAGTAAATAAGATGTTCTAGTCCAGTATAACATCTTAATGATAATGAATAAAAATGCCAATAGTGTAAATCACTTTTATTTGTTAGGGTAAGGTGAAGTTCTGTGAATTATATATATATAGAACGTAACGCTACAGCAGGTGGTATGCAACAACATAAAATGGATTAGTGATGATAACGTTATTTAACTTTTCACTAGTTTTTAAGCAAGGTCACATACTCATACAGAGACTGAAATTTAATATCCACTATTAATCCAAAATTACATTTGTGCTGTTCTACTTCTTTCGGTGGAAATAAAATTAAAAAGTTAGCAATTTATTGGTTCGTTTTGTTATCTTTTTTACCCTTTATCGGATCATTAATCCGAAACTGAAGTATACTTTTATGTGCTTGCAACTGTAGTTTTTATTATGCGATTAAGAATAGGAAATTGAGGGGCTAAACAAATTGAAAATAGGCTTTGTGACAAGAGAGATTTTAAAAAAAGAGCTGAACTAAGTTGATTAGAAAACAGAGTCATGTTAGAACAACAACAGGCGAATTTTGGAATATATGCATAATATATCTAGCCACTTAAACTGATCGACAAGATTTGAATAATATATATACGGAGCAATGCCAACAACGAATGAGTGTAAACATGTCATTTAAGCAGGATGTCAGTCACGTCCAAATAAGCTCTATGATGATGTCTCTGACTGCAGGACTGAGTGTTTTAGGTTTATATATCTATAGGAACATCCTTTACGATAATGGTGCAAATATATATTTTGGATGCGTGCTAAACACTGTGATCTTAGTCACATGGGATTTTGTCAGCAACTTTTAATTGTATGATGTCTACTTCATTGGAGAATGTGAACAATAAATTATTTGAATCAGTGACTTATACGACTTGATGTTGCCTGAATAAAAATCTCATTAACTTCCCAGATATTTGTGAATGAATACCTAACAACATTGAAGAGTTGTTTTACTCAAGATGCCAAGTAAGAATATTAAACTACTAAGAAGTTAGTGATTTCGAATTATATTAGAGGTAAAAATCTATACTGTTTCAAATTCTGTGATAACGCTCAAAAGTATATCCTGATTTTGATTTGTAAATGGAATTTGTGTATGTACTGTACTTTAGGCACAGACAAGTGGATATAAAATTTATTTTCAAAATTCCTTGGTGAATATCAGTTCATAACAAAAATGTCCCTATATATTACAATTTTGTTTTGTAACACTTTCAATTAAATTTTGCGTAGAATCTTAGTAATGTATATTTAGCTTAAAATTAATGCTGAAAGTTTCAAAGTACAGAATCTTACAGCACCTTTTACTAGGTAATTGACTGTTATTAAGGTAAATCTACCGTAATTCAGTGCCGATGTTGTTATCACTCTTTTGAGTCCCATGTACCAGATTTCGAGGGATGTTTGGTATTTAAAAGCTGTCGATACTACTCTGTTATTTGAAGTAAAATATTTAAAACGGTGCCAAACTTGACACGATCATAAATATAATGTACGCATCAATTTTCAAAGTATCACAGTTCATTATTTTTATTTCATAATATTGAGTGGTGATTTTTAAACCCTGTAAAATGTCAATTTTAAAGTAAGTACAGAATAACAAAGTAACTCTTAAAGTCTGTCAGCTGCAAGTAATCATAGTAAGTCATGTATTTTATCTCTTCACTCATTGACACTAGTCCATAAGTAATTTAAGAACACGTTTACTTTCTTAGAAGCTCATTTCATTATGATACCTAACAATATATATGAAAACATTATCATTTAGATAGAGGAACTGTCGCTAACACTTTTCAAGATAATGGTAATAAGAACAATCAGTAAGTGAAAACATCACGTAGTTCGTTGTTCATCAAATACATTGTTGACTCAGACAATTGGTAAAGACATTGCTAAATTGATGGAATAAAGGTTTTCGGGACTGAAAACTAGTTTGGGAGTATTTTTTATCAAACTGGTTTTACTTTATATTGTACTAAAATGAAAAACCAAGGGTACAGTAATAGTTTATAACAACTAAATGAATTTATCTTTCAAGTATTTAATCTGAAGCGAATGGCTGAATAGTATCTGTCTTAAACTTTTCCAGCCCTTAGAAAAATTAATTTTAATTCACAGTTATAGAAACTGATGAGAACTTATCGAAAGGAAGAGATGAACATTGATTTTAATATAATCAGACTATAGGTTCTAATACTTACTTATAAAGCAGAGGGACGTGGCAAATTATTCCACTGTTCAGTCTGTAATTTCATTATGAACTAACTTCAGTAGGTGAGATAATTAAGATTTATGGGATAATAGTGATGTTAGTATGGTTATTAGTGAGTGGTTTGGAGATTGGTCTCTTATGTATCTGAAGAAAAGCTGTCACCTGTTAAGTCAATCAACTTAGGGTTGAGGGAGTACCTAATCGGTGATAGAATTCAGCTGTGTCACAAATGATCAAGACCGAAAAAAAGGAAATTACCTTGTCTTGAATAAAGTATCTTAATGTATTATATAGCCTTCGATATCTGAAGTCTCATGTACTCACCACTCAAGAGTACCAAAATAAGAAGCAAACAGGTATCTAGCACTCACTAGTTTTCAATAGTTCCTCAGTTGATATTTTATAGACCGTTTTCTTAACAAGGAGATTCACGTTTTACATTTTAAGGAGAATATTGTCCCAGGTTCATTCACATCTATTACTATTGAACTCAAAGAGTTTAAGGATTTAAAAATTTCACGTAACCGGGACTAACAGCCATGCAAACTTGAAATCCAGTGATTATCCCTATTTGTTGGTAGTGCTTTAAAAAGCTTAAACTTGATCACATTCGTTTGCTTAATTTGGCCTGACTCAAATCATAAAGTAAGTAGTTGAAAATCCTCTTATCTTTGTCATAAAAAACAGTTAACCAATGATAAATAACTGATCCCATAGGTATGAGGGAGTTGACTGAATTCTTCTGTGAAAGAACTTTTCACTGAATGCCAGTCATCATTTGTGCATAGAAAATCGATTAGTAAGAAAAGAATTTGTGCATTTATGCTTCGGATTTAATACCAACTTTAGCTAAACAAAAGTACACTGCCAAAAAATGCAAATTTGCAATTAACAGATGCGAAACTGTTTACAGACTGGACATAATTCCAGTTTCATAAACAATGAAGCAATATTATACCTGAAGTAACTTTTGAAGTCGTTCATCTAAGTCTTCCCAGGTCATCTCATCCAATAGTCCGGTGCAACCAATCTTAAATGATCGAATACAATTTAACGGTGTATCTGCAGAATTATTATTAGCGGCTGGTTGGTCACGACATTGACTTGCGTTTGGAATCTTATCTAAATTTCTCTGACATATACTTTCAGTATGAACAAATACTTGAACAAATTGACACGAATCTTGGAAATGATGAGTTGATAGGTCTAGAATTAGAAAAAACCTGATACTGATGGAGACAATTATATGGAAAACAAATAAGAACTATCAATATTTTTGTTGGTCGAATTTGGATGAATATCACATTCTTACGTCCATGTGGTAAATATTTGAAACTTCATTCATTTAAAAAATTTAGTTATAGTGATACTGCCATATATCTGTAGAGCAAAATGTAAATATGGTTGGCAGGGAGATATATGAGTAAATAACCGTCTAGAAAACAACATAATTCTCACATCCTAAGACATAAGTGCAAGTATTGAACAGTAGTACATTTCATCTATATAATGATCGAAAAAGTCAAGAACTGGTTAGTGCATATTTTGTTAAGTCTAATCTTTTCTAATCATCTATCTACATGGTATATTTCGATTTTAAACTGTCACTGAAATTGATACGCCATAAGTTTCTATATTAATTTTTCTTTTTTATAATCTGAAACGGTGATCTGCTGAATCCAATCATATGGAGTTGTATTTAACCTTCAAACCGCATAAATCCTCCTTTAGTTCAAGTACAGATCTTGAGCAATCAAATTATGAGCTTCTAGAAGTAATTTTCTCCTAAAATAAGTTACAGTCTTTTCATATTCACATATAGTTGAATGCTATTTGTGTGCACTGAAAGACAAAAGCGTGAATGGAAACTGTTCTGATTGTTCTTTGATGTTCTGTCAGTTCTAATGAATAAATCACTAAAAAATCTTTCCGTAATAACATTGGCAATCTTTTCTCTATTTCATCTTTACTTAACTACTGTTAGCGGTTATAAGCTCTGAAAAGCGAATTCTTGAACTACGTAAAACAATATGACTAAAGTAAATTTCAGGATAAAAACCAGGATAACTCTTCGAATGGTTTGATTGGCTAAGTAGTTATATATATGTGACAAAAATGGTGAGCAGAAATCTAATCACTGTCCAACAATAATTTGGAGATGTATGCAAACATAAAATATGTCAATTAGGGATTCCTGTTGATCGTGTTTACCTATACAGAGCTGATTAATGATTGTCTTTTATGGTTATTATTTAATTCAAACAATCCAACTTGAAATCACTAATAAACAAGGTTAATTCCCACTTTTTTCTCTTTCTATAAACAGTATAACAATGTACTGGATAACCCATACAAAATTATTGAAATTGGTACTGATCTAAAAGAACTGACTTGAAGAATTCCGTTTAGTTCGTATTGAAGTTAATCATACTGAATTGTTAAGTGTGAAATAGATTTATTAGGGAGATTATACAATATTTCTCTCATTGTGCACAAAGGATTATTCTTCACTTGTTTATGCATTATTTTATGCTGTTATTACTCCTATAAACCCATAGTTATCTAAAATCCACAATGCAATTACTGGAAATATCAGTTTACAGACATACAGACTCCAGCTGACACAAACATATATCTACAAAAGTTATGCACCTTATATTATAAACATACAGTAATCCCCTCCTGTTTGTTTATGTAATCGAAGATCAAAGTCTTTTTGTTTCCATAGTTTAGATTTGCGTTATACGGACGAGATTAGTGTAACGATTAAAACAAATGTAGTAAACGAGAACGAAATATTCCAGAACGTCTTAGTAAAATCTGAGAACCATACAGTAAATAATTCATTCGCAAAATGTTCATTAATTGTCTCAGATTTGATTGTTCCTGCATTTCCACAACAATTACCTTCTGTTCCCATTCATTCCTCCTCGATCTTCTTGACCTTCTGCTGCCAGACATTCTATTCCTGACTAGCGTTATATACTACTTATGTCGACATAATTAGCACACATCACACAATTTTTTGGCAGTAGTGATTGTGAATGCGTTTCATTCCATAAATGAATATGATGCCACTTTTAAAATGAAATTGATGTCAATACATCAGTAGCTTATGTTTATTAATGTAGAAATCACTTGTTATGGTTTTGACTGATAGAAATATCTACCTAACCATAAGGCAAATGTCAATGTCACTATGGTAAGAATAATTATTCATCAATCTGCAGCATTCACTGAGTTATTTCAACATTTATGAACAAAAAATGATTACATCTTTCAAGTTTGGCGTTTATTAATTTATAGTCGTAAAACTTAACAGCTATATTAAGGAATGAATAATGTTTTTAAAAAACCTGTTAACTGGCTACGTTATCGGATGAATTTATCACGCCAATTAAGTTGATAAATGTATTTACAAATATCTAAATCCTACACGAACAGTCATTACCCTTTTCAGTTTTATAAATTATTTTTGAGAAGTGAAAATAATACGTTTTTACGGGTGACTATTATTATAAATGAGATATGTATGCACTTATTACACTTTTTATAGGAATATAATTAAGTGCGAGTATATATATAATGCTATAATATAATCTGTTCAATCCCCTCAATTTATGTGGAAAAATTTGGAAATGAATGCATAGTTTTGTAGGTAGTGAACAGCTTATAACGTCTATGAGAATAAATGTTTCTTCGAAAGATTTCTGGAAACCACGGGTTATCGACATATTTTTATGTTTTCTGTAAAGATTTTCATGCTAAAATCTAAGATCCACGCCTTTTGAGATTTCTGTCATAGACCGCGTGATAAAGTGAAATAAGCTAGATAACTGTGCATCACTTTAGAACAATTTTCGGTAAGGTCTAAGTACCGTTTGTCGGCATTTGTTTCCAGTTATTTTTACCTAAAATTTTATCACTCATGCAACATCATTTATTCAATGTAAACAAAACAGAACATACCATATAGAGAAACTTTTTTCTCTAATTTCACTGTGTACAGTTCGTTGCGTAGCACTTCATCTGGGTTATATTTCAATACGATCTCCTGGAGTTTTTTATTTCTGGCTTCAAGTAAATCCATTTGCCAACGCATTCGGCTAACTGTTAGATATAATCGATCCAGTTGTTGTTCACATTGTAATTTATGATTATTCTCGGTAACTTGATCATGCAGAGTAGATTGTAGACTGGAGAAAAGTTAAAAATTAGTGTATTGAACAATAATTTGAGATTAAAAGCCATACAGATGAATTTGATGACTAAAAATAATTGATAATTTGAGAAGAAAACCATGCAGGTCTATTTTAGAAAGGAAGAAAATTATGGATTAAATAGTAACTGTTTTGATACCAAAAGCATAATCCTGTTATTGAGTATAGTATTTATTAGGTCAGGAACTAGCAGTGTTTCACTAGAGCTACTATGTGGCCTCAGAGAGCTCACCAAAATTGTAATTTGGAGATGATGACTCAAACAGTAGTAAGTAATTGCTTCCTTATAAATGAAAAAACAACATAAAAATCAGGTGCATAAATTTCTAAATTAAAATTAAGCTTACAGCTAACTTAATTGAAATTCAATAGGAATCATTACAGCGAATAGAGGTGTATATTAGAAATACTGAACGTTAAAGCTGACAAGATTTTCTTTGTAGTGTTAACATCTAAGAAGAATTGAACTGTCTGGTAAGAACTGAAACTACTAGAGGTTTTTTGAGATGATTTAGTAAAAGCAGTATTGTTTACAATACTTTTGAGATCCCTATTTTTCGGTTATTGCATGTTTCATCTAAACTAAATCATTTAATTATTACTGACATAAATCTATTATTTTTGCAATTATATATTCTGAGTTCTTATCTACTTATTCTGATGATACAGCAGATTAAAGTATGCTTAATTTGAAATCCAGAAATAAATGTGATATATTTTCTTCATGTTTCCTCGAAACAGATATACCATTAGTTAAAGACAACATTTTACCTTTAAAATTTTTGTCAAAATGCATTACAGTATACTGAATATGATCTTTGCTTAATCAGTCATTTTTTATATTTTTGCCTGCTTTTTATCCATGAGATTCACTGTTTCACTAACAGATCATGGTAACTAATATGATTTTATATACGAATTTCACATTAGATAAATGAAGTGATTATAAAAATATATGGAGTTGATAATCATTTGGTGTTACAGACTCAGAATAATAAATGCTGTATGGTGATTTGATTAAATTTAACATTACATTCACTTTCTTATAAAATTCTAGATTTACATAAATTATTTTCTTAGAATATTACATTACCTCACTGCATAAAATGTAAGCAAAACCATGAAGTTAGTAATTTAACTTAACTTGCAAACTGTTTGCTAAAAATTGCGATTAACTACATGAAATTGTAAAATATTGATTTGATAAGTTCTGGGGTATTCTGTTTAATCAACCTTAAATATGACATGCACAGAAAAGATATGATAACCAATGTAGAAGCTACTCACTTTGTGGTACTGTCGTCATTCATTAAAATTTCCGAATCATTTGGGCGTATGTTACTTTTCGTTCTTTTCTTGAACGCTTTGCTAAATGATGCGCGTAACTGTAAGTGTGCAACGGGATCAGAAACCAAACAAAATAATTCTAAGTGCAAAAATAACTTTGTTTAGCAGACAGGAATAATATTTTGAAAGTATTTGGGTAAAAATTTTCAAATTCAGATCATGGAATTTTACTGAAGTTAACGTTAGGTTTATATTCTACAAATATATTGATAGGTGGTTACAGCTAATGATACAAATGTTTAAATACTGGTTTTCAAAGTTTTCACTGTCAAACGAATGATAGACAATTAATTCGTGAATGAAACACTTAAAAATAAAAATACTGCTAAGAAGGCCTCAAGTTATTTAGTTTTTGTTGATAAGTTTTAATTGCTTCCCTTTAATGATAACAGAAATATGATTTTTAAAACCCATATATCCACACGACTGTTGTTTCCTGATTGGCTGTTATCACTTTTAATTTTCTGTTTTTCCTTTGTTCCAATGTCACTTTTTCTGTTAGGTGTGCATAGCTATTGTACTTCAATTTTAACTTCTAATCAAAATATAAAACTATCCTGGAAGTCCCGTTTTCTCTAGGTTCTTATTGGTGTATGGATTATTAACGCTGAAGTGTTCTCATGTCATAAGTTGTACTATCGAGTTCACATTAGTTTCTATTCATATTAGAAACGTTTCAGTCGTTTGAAACTGGAAATTAGCATAGGTGCCATTGAATTCCAGTTGTAAAATCTAATAAGCATATTGATTTACATTATATTTAAATGACAATGTTAACTGATTTGGGATGTTCATTTTTGTCAGTAGATGGGTGAGGCAAATCAGGTGTACAACGCTTAATATAACGTTGAATAATAGTCACACTGTATCGTGAACTGATTTTTTTAAAATTTGAGCAAACTCAAAGACTCAGTCATGTCATGTTCCCCGAGAGCCCTATGAACCATAAGTTTCATTTAATGTACAGTTGGGAACATGCAGTTTTGGGAACTTCCAAACTTGACCCAGGCACCTCATTAGCACTTAATTTTAAATAATTATCTAGCTGATATCTGTTTAAAATAAAAACTGTCTTTGAATTGTCTGAAAAGTAAGTGTAGATATAGCTGGAACTGTTTTTAGTTATTGTACTTCTTTTCAGTGAATGATAACATAGGGTATTTCCTTTAGGTCTCGTAAATAACGTATGTACAAAAAAGTTTTAAAATGTTTATGTTATTTAGACGTGATAACTTAAACTGACCTGAACTAGAGAAACTATTCTCAAGCTATTCAGTAGTAGGAAAAATAATTTCAATGTCGAGTGAAACCCACTGCATATTAGAATGACTGTCTGACCACTATTTTATTGACTTTGTAAGCCGTTTTTTTCATTGTGAAATTTCTTCCTTCTCCAGCAACAGTTTCAGTATCGTTTCTGATGTTAGTTATTTAACTGCTAATTGATAAGCATTGTTTACTAACTAGAAAACTGAAGTGATTTTTATTTTAGCAGAGGTAGAGAGAATTAAGCTTCACATACTCACTACGTATCTCAATTTGTGGTATTATTCTTTGTAAAAATCCAAATTTAATATGATGAATATAATAAACTGTACGACGCAATAATCTACATGATACCACGATAGCACATGGGTCGTTTCGAAAGTTAAGTTATTGAATAGTGTGAACTAAATTTATTGTATTTTAAATCCATACATTTTTCTTAACTATTTCATTAATAATTATAACCATGCTGTTTTTTGCTCTCTTTTTATGACAATACGTAGTATGTGTATGAGTTGTATTATTTCATAAATACATAAACGTTACAGTATTTGTATTAAACCTCAATTAGCTTATTGACTGAATACCATGAAATTAGTCACGGAGAATATTTGACCTAAAGACTTTCGAGATCACATAAAATTACATGTACCTCAGAATTGAAGGAATCATTACCTATCCAGAATCCCTATTTAATCATTTAGGGTAACTAGACTACAGACAATGAGGCACAACACTTTTCTTTTAATGCACGTTAAATGAAAACACATAGGGACAATTTACATGGGTCTTCAAATCGTTTTCCGTCAATTTTGACAAATTTTCAGCCATAACTAATACGGACGTCAAAGTGTGAATTTTTCTCTGACATTCAGTAAATTAGAATGCTAATTTGCAAATATTTGTCTTGTAGATCAGGAATAATAGAAATGCACTATATTGTATCATAAGTCAAATAAACTTTCAAGTGTTTACTATATTGCTTTTGTTGAGAATTTTTATGGAAAATCTTTCTAAGAAGTTTTTAGTTCCCGAATGGATGCTAGAAGTGTAACAGGACATTACTGAGGAATCCAAGGAATAACAAAGTAACAGATATTTTGTCGTCATTTTTGGAAAGCCAGTTAAATAATGCTTGGTTTTACTCAACTATCAGTGATACAAAATAATGACTGAACAATCCAAACAAAAACAGCTTCATGGTTGAATACCATACGTACCCAATGTGAGTGTTTAACATATGACCTCTCGGTATCTAATGCTGATGGACTTCTACTAATTTGGCTGGAATATTTTTCGTCAGATTTTGAGTTCATTTTCTGTTGCTGTTGTTGTTGTGAGTGAATTGAAGGATCTTGACTACCAGCACTTGTTCCGCTTGTAAAACTATTTAGACTTACTGCATCCTGAAGATCTTCAGACACGTTTTTCAAATGAGAAAACGAACAATCGTAATGATAGAGTTAAAAAGTATTTTCGGGCTGATAAAAAAAATCAAGTTTTATAGACCTAACACACCGAAATTAAATGAGAAGAGATGATATTTACTTCAGTAAATAATTACGGTTATGAGATAATCACAAGCATAAAAATACACTTTTTTAAGTGCATGATCAAACGTGTTTAAGCCTTTTACTTGAGTCGCTCATGTAAATCTTATCCACTGGATGTTTATTTCCACCATGGACTGACCACCTGCAAAGTCATAGAAGATTATAGAGCACATAATTTAAACACATAGGCAGGAAAATTCTACCATGTTATGTAAACTTACGAACCTAAAACCTTCAGGCACTCCAGCTCACTCGTTGATTTTATGTTACTCAGTCGAAATCTGAAGTTCATTGTTACAGCTTTGGTAAATATCACGACTAACATACAATTAATGTCAGCCCATGATGAAAACTAGATTCATATTAAACTCAGTCACCTTAAAGCATCTTTATGAACATTAGTTTTTGTAGTTATTAGTAATTATATTTGAAAACAGATTTATTGGAACTTCATAGGACATAATGTTTAGTGAAGTTAAAGTATATCACAACTGAAGCCATTTACAGTTAGTGGCAATGAAAGCTCGTTGTTCTTGGTCGTTAATTAATGAAAGTCGAAAATGCAAACCGATTTTTCCCTGTTCCGTCCCCTAACTTCACTGTATACTTCGTAAGATGTGAGTGTATTTAGCCCAATTTTGTTTGGGACCATTAATATGCATTATCTATGAGTACCAAACAAATTTCCTCCTTCTCGTTAACTTTCAGTCTGTATCAGTTCTTGACAGAAAATGTTTTTCAAATAAAATTTTCCTCATCTTGTCAATTTGCAATGAATTTGACTGTTATTATTGTTCGGCACAAAAGAATCAATATCCTTTTCAACAGTCATTCAGCCACTTATTTCCTAAAACTCTGGGATGAATCCTTGATAGAGTCAATTAAATCATAAGTGACAATAAGCGACTTCAAATAGATTTAATAACTAGCAAATCGACCAGTTTTTAAAAAATATCGTGGGATTCGAAATTTTCGGGCTCAGTTGCGTATAAAACTTAATATGTATTCAAGTAAGAATTGTCATTTTATTTTTTGTGATTTTCAGAATCCTATGGCTTTTGTTGACCTTTGGAAAAAACTCGTACTTTTTCGTTTGCTTCGGCATTCGGTTCGCTCAAGCTAATGCTTATGAATAACAAATTCTTAGATTGTTATAATATGAGCGAAGTCATTAATAGCTTTCGTACAAAGAGACCTTTATCTACAATATTCATATATTGATTTATACAAGTCATCCCACTAAACTGTCATCATTAAACAACAAACGATCACTTAGACTTGATGAGTTTTTCTAAAATTCACAACTTTTTTCAGATAAATTAGGCTTCACTTTTCTTTAAACCGTTTATCATTTTGCAGCAACAAATGATTAATATTTAAATCACTTAAAAAACACTAAACTTATATTAAAGTTACCTTGATACATAGCATCAGGAAGTGTACGACAAGATGTTGATCTTGGCGGTTTGGGTTCAAAATGACTCGGAGAGCTGACCAAAGATTTACTATTCATATCATCGCGAAGTTGATTTATAATACTTTGTAGCTCATGTATTTCTGAATTCTATGATAGTAAACGTTTGGCACGTGTAAAAACAAAAAATTCATCAGAAACTGTGGTTGAGTATCAAGTAAATATGATTGATGTTTATTGTGCCTAAATATAAAATATAAGACTGAGTTCATTTGAATTAATCTCAACATTTCCCTTTCTTGAAATAGGATATTACCTTGATAAACCTTTAGTCTAAAATTATTTTAACTGTAAACTTAAAAACACCAGATTTATTCCAAAATAACGTATCGTGAATTTCTTGAATGATTAAAAAGGAAGAGTTAGTCTGTTATTCCTTCGAAAACCGAAAATATGTAGTCGCAATGTTTTAACAGCAATGATAATCTGTTTATTCAAAATCATAAGCTTCGATTCACTACAGGATCTTCGGTTGGAAATTTTTCTTAAAACGTTTCGCAAGCTATATGTCTAATTGAAAAAGACACTTAAATATCTTTAACATGATTATCAGAGAAAATATTATAACAAAAGGGCCATTTACAACGGCTATTTAACAGTTATTTATCTTCAACCACAAAATGTTCGTCCCGATTAATTTAGGTGAATGTTAGATTCCATAGATTATCTGGTAGCTTTCCTATTGTCCATATTGTGTATATATATATCAAGCGAAAAATATGCTGGAAAGTTTATAAAATAACATAAACTACAATCACTAGGATAAAGCTTATTGCAAATGAGCTCAGTAATTCTTTGTCGAGATAGGTAGCAAGTTGATTCCGATATTTAGATACACACTTTACAATCAGGTGGGTAATAATTGAAACAAATATGTTCCAGAGGTACTTGTGGTCTAACCTTTAAACATCATTAAACTAGCATACTAGTTAGGGGTGAATTATTCTTAACAATACAAAACAAGTATTGTTTAAAAAACGTTAAACAAGCATTTTCATTGATTTAGAAATGGGAACTGTTTGTCTGAAAGCAGATTATTATGTTTAAAGATAATTTTCGACATGCGAGAACCACGACACTTGTTAATAAAAAAGGTAATTTTTGATATCTCAATCAGGAAAAATTAACTTTGTCGTTTCGGGGTCTAGTGTAAGTCGCTTCTTCAGAAAATATGTCGGTAGCTGAACTGAATTAACACAGCATGACTTTATCACACGCGTCAGTCTTTAAACTAATATGAGATCAAACACATGACTTTTAGGTTTCATGACAAATGCCTTACTACTAGATCATCAGATTACGATAAGTTAGTTCATGGTTTCTTATCTCACCCAACTAGTTAAACAAGACACACATATTTGACGCCAACACTGAATTATTGCTATTAACCGTGACTTAGTTGACTTTAGGATCTATTATTTTAAAATCCCATTTGAGTATCAGTAAACAAAATGAAATGTTCATGTATAGTATGATCTATGATTCCCCTAAACTTAAACATTCAGGTGACATTTAATGTGGTAATAATTTGATTCTAAGTAAAAACCTGGAAGCATAATCATCTTCGATAAGAAATCCATATACTAATTTTTAAGCAAGATGGTTTTGTGGGGCTACTGTGTACTTCGAAAGTGATCCCTATTATTCGGTGATGTTAGTTGAGTCGCTATTAAAAAGTGCAAAGTACTAAACAACGGATTTATTATATTCGAGTATTGAGTACAAAAAAAATGAATATCTTATGATTTATGGTATTTAATGGTTTTCTATAGAATGTCACTTTGTATTCAAATTTCCAACTGAATTCGTTAATTTTATCTATATTGATCTGTTTGCTTTTAAAAGTTCTACTTTAGATCTTCGTCGTATCTTATTTCAAATGATCGATCATGGATTGCTTTACTTCCGACTAAATTGACAAATTGTTTAGGTTACATTCTGTTATATATTGAAAGGTACACTTTTTAATAGCTCACTAATTTCTCCATTCAAACTGTTTTAAAAAATAAAGATAATTAATACCAGTAACATGTTTCCTACATAAAAAACTTTAGTATATCACAGTCTTAACTAGTTCTTTTATGCTACTGATAATCAAATGTCAAAAAAATGTAACTTTTATTTAAACAGAAATTTTTCTTGATTTAGGTGCGACGAAAATTTTATATCAATGTCAAATACTTTAATAAAACTTTTAAATCTACAATCTGTTGTTGGAAAGCTCGTGACCATGGGTAACTGGAACATCTATAACGTCATATTTTAGATATTGTATAGATAAACGTTTTTGCGTTAAAACATTTTTTAGAATACGTTTTCAGTAAATAATGATTAACTTTTGTGAAAAAAGCAGAATCCTTGAAAAACTATTACATTATAAAAGTGTAATTCTTGAATTCTATGGAGCAGGGCTGGAACCGCATCCATTTTCCTTAAGTAGATATTAACTTCCTTGTTGACAGTATTTTCTGTCAAGTGTTCATCATTTTCAAATCAGTAACAAATGAAGTTGAAATGGAAGAGTTTCCAAAAAAGTTTTAAAATCTCTTTATTAACAGGTAAAACCATTTTTTTCATTAGCGGAGATTATCTTAGTGTAATATCAGTTATTGACCATCTCTTTGCTAATTAGGTGATAATGATCTGTCTATTAATGGTGAGATTATTTAATCTTTCCACTCGAATATTATTTCTTTTTGATAGCAAGTTAGATTAACATAAAGAGCCATTATCTATATTTTTTACTTTAATTGGATCGAAGATAATACTCAGCAAAACAGTAAAACTGGTACCGAACCCTTAAATAGCAAAGACCGACAACTAGTTAACATACATTTTGTTCTCTTTAGAATATTAGGAACATAATTCTACTCTGAACATACCTTGAAGTTGTCCATGGCTTGAAGTTGTTCAAGGCGAACTACCATATTTTCCATAGTCTCCTCTAAAGTTTCAATTTTGCTATCCTATAAAAGAAATGATTGAAGCGTAAAGACTATAGAAGAATTCGGTTTGATGCATTAGAAAAGAGAAAATCGAGATGAAAGTTTGTGAATGATGGCTTTGGCAGTGAGATTTTCTAAACTAGTTAATTTATAAAATAATTTATGATCTAAATTTATTGTAAACAGGTATATAATTGGTAGATTTGTTATTATTTTATTTGTAGGATATATGTATTTATACATAGAATACTTTAGAAATGATTTAGGACATTTACATCATGGAAGTAGAAACAACCATCGAGAGTTAAATAAGCATCGATTCAAGTATGAATACCTTGCATTCCGTTCATCAGCTCATGTGAAACACACATGGTATACTCATATAATTTCTATGTGGTGAGTTTGTATAGTTTTAAAGTAATGTTGATCTGAAACGTATTCAGCGCGGACGTTATAAAAATAAGGAACAATACATGTTTTTTCCATCAGTTTTTAGGATCCCTCAATGATGTAGACCTCAGAATTTACACAGGATTGATCCCGAGAGTCTAGAATTTTGAAATGAGGACTATATCTTTAAACTATAAAGTTAAAATCCGTGCATTTGCAATTACAAATTCAGTAGAATCTCGATCCAACGCTTTTGACGACCTTTATCATCGATGAGGTGTATGAGAAAAGGAGTGTGTAATAAATTTTATGTGAAAATTTTTAAATTAGAACCAACCAGATATTCGGGACTACAGATAATATTTTTCTATGATAGATATATATATATCATTTTATGAAAATGTCACCGTATTATATTAACTCAGTCTAAAATTACTCCCAAATCTATGAGCTCACTTCTTATAATTAACAGTACAATTTAGGTCAAGAACAATCAAAATCTTCTAATCAATAATTACCTTCAGCATTTTTTCAGTCTCACTTTTGTTCCCATAATTCATTTCATTTGACATGGTAGTTATATTTTCAAATTTTGATGATAAATTTGTTCTACTATTTATCAATATCGTTGAATTATTCTCATGTAATTCATCATCAGATAAACTTTTATCTGATATGATATATTTACTTTTATTGAGCGATCGGATAATTTGTTTTTTCTCATTAAAATATGATTTTTTCAATGATCTTGGTGAGGTTTGTTTAACTAGTTTATGACAATCTTTACTTAAAATGATATTGCTATTATTATTACTAATAGTATTATTATATGTTGTAGACTTTTGCCTTGTAGAAGCCAATTCTTGTCTAACCATACGTTCTGTTTCAATTAATCGTTTAGGCCTCAGATCATAATTTGATATTGCTGTATTTTGAACATGACCTGATAATGCTTTAGAACCTTTATCTATTTCCTGTGCAGTTTTCAACAGAACACATGGTGAAGGTAATCTCTTTGAGTGATTTCCGTTACCAAATAAAGTGTTTGGGTCAGTTTTATCGATATGATTAGTATAGTGTAGTTCATGATCATTGGATTGTTTATGTAGTGATCGTGACTTACGTTTAATGAATGATGAATTTTTTGTTAAAGATGTCGACATAAGGTCAGGATAATGTTGATAATTTGGAATGATATTGCATCGAATATCATTATATGACACCGAAATTAGATTATTTGCATTATTTTCAATATTTCCGTAGTTAGCATTTTGTTTAACTTTATATTCAGACGTTAAATGCTCATTTATCTTAATATATGGTGATATAAATGATTGTTCTGATCGTATTGAATCAAAATCACTTATTATATCATCATCAATCAATTTATTATGTTTTGGTGGGTCGGAATTTTCGCGTGTCCATCTTTGAGACTCATTTATTGTTAAATCAACTAACTGACCACGAGAGTGCTTTGTTTTAAACAATCTCTGACTGTTGATATCAGATGAAGTGATTGTATGTTTTTGTTCATTTATATTAGAATTTTCTGAATATTTTTCACAATCGACGCCACTATACCAATCAGACGTGATCTTATCAATATTTTTAATAGTGTTATCATTACTATGAATTTTATCACCATTAGTGTTCGGTCTACAACTATGTTCAGATTCTGATTTTATCAAGAGATTAGATACTAATGGTTCATAGTGTGATTTTGTGTATGAATAAAAATTTGGATAAAATCTCTCCATTATTAAAAGTATTATTTAATTAAGTTTTTTTATAAATCTGTATATGGCGTAATCCATTGTGTAAAGTAGTAGAGTAAATTTTACTTAATTATGTTATATACTGTGGATGCAAAAGGATGGGTAGATTGGTTAAATGGGACAATTTTCCCAACTAGTAATCACCTAAATATCATGGTAAGTATATTTCGACTTTTCTGTGTGTTTAGACTGCTGCATATGTCCATGATTGTGTAACCATTCATATTTTATTCACTATATTACATATCCATTACCTTTTTCCTTATCATCCAATGAATGAACGGCCTGCTAAAATTGGTCAGTCAACTTCAACTCTTTCCTTTCCAGGTCCACGTTTTTTCCACTTTAATAAAGTGCAAAATTATGTGTTTCATCATAAATGTGTTTTATATGTTTAGGACTCTTATATCAACTGTTTATTCACCCAAACAACCAGTCAGTCAGTCCAGTAATCAGTAAAATAGTATTATCATATATCTACGATTAGTATGTCATCTTATATTAGCTTACAGCAGTATAAAGATTTTTCCGTTTTTCTTTTTTTTCACTTGAACAACATACTAGTTTGTATACTTTAAAGTGATTCAGAGTGAATGCACCTAAAAGCTATTTTTAGTAAATGTGAAATTGACTAATATTTCTGTTAACTTATAGTGAATAAACTCTATTCCCAGTAAGTATAGATAGTTATGAAGTAATGTTTTTTTGGACATGTTTCTGTCCCGGCACGTGGTTTGACCATAATAATAATTTATGATTATTTTTAAATACTATGTACCAAGTGTTGTTAAAATATTTAGAACTAATGTGACCGAAATGTTCAAGTTGTAGTTCAATATAACTCTATCGTAATTCAGAGACGTAATGGTGTACCTGATATCCAGAACTCATATGTGTTTATGAATTAATAAAAGGATGTATCTTTGCTTAAGAGAGGGGTTCGTCATTGATTAAAATATACTAGGCAAATTAATTGCCTCTATATTCTAGAAACTTAATTTGTCAATTTAGGCTAAATCTCACTGATGAAACCAGAAAAAGTTAATTATGAGATTTCAACTCAATACATGAGTAGAACTGTGTTGTCCTTAATATCTGAAGATCTTATATCTGATTGCGTATGAGGTCTTGAGTGTGAATAAAATATCAAGAAATAACTGCGTTGATCTCCGTGATTTTCAATGATTTTCTGGATGACATTCAATCTGGATGAAGTTGTCTTCAAGGTATAATAAACTAAGATAAACATATAGATGGAATTTCTTAACTTTTGCATTTGAAGAAATATGTATTTAGTAGATGCTCCTATTCTTAACTAATCTATATGCCTTAAAATGCAATAAACAACTTCAAATAATCATATGTTTATAGCAATAACAGATTTTTTAATTTTCGTGTATGTTAATATTATTATTATTTCATGCTTTGTGCTCACGCAGCAGTGTTGCACTACTTTAAACTATATGAAGATTAGAAATAAAAAGATAAAGCATGCTATAAATCACATAGAATATGAATAATACCGGCTGAGGAAATTACACAACAGTTATTCGTCGTAATCGACTGTGTAAATGAGAAAAATATATTACTTCAGCAAAGCTAAAATAGTTCTTCAGATAGTGTTTCAGTAAGATTACTGTAAAATAGTCCTATCTATTTGTTACAGTTAGCTTCAAAATATTACATGATATTCCTTGTTATTCAGGGTAGATTTACTTTCAAAAAACTATCATCTGAATGAAAATTTTGTTTGTCTATAAGTTGTCATGAAGTTTATGAAATTATCCTCAATCAACATTAACTGGAGAATTATTGAGCCCTGATCAGTTATTTCATCGTAGTTTTGGACACAAATAACGTGTATCAACGACTCCACATAGGGATTCAAACCTATGTCTTCAGGTTCAGTGACCAGCATTTCTGAATGACCTACTAGTATCGTGCTGATTTCAGAACTCGAAGATTCTGGTTGGAGTCCTGTATGTTGTTCTGCAAGGCCACCACTATGAAATCTCAAAACATGATAGAACAAGTTTCAGACGTTTTATGTTTTTTGCTGGTTCTTCATTTGAAATCAGTTTGTAATAAAAATTACCTGCCAAATCAGAATCATCGCTAAACTATCCAAGTGAACGAAGATAAGTTGAAAAATATATGGTGCAATTTTATTATAAATAAAAAATCTACTAAATCTTACCTTCACTGATAAATGACTCGATAGGACAGCGATATGATCTTGTAGACGTTTAGTTTCTTGACGAAAATTTTCAATCTGCAATTAAAATTGCAACTTGATACATATGGAGGGTAAATTTATTACAGAGACTTTTTGTTCTTTATATGAGTTATTATTTATCACATTTCCACATTTGTAACCTTGTGGAAATTAGAAATATCAGCAAGTAGCATTAAAAATACTTAAATATTGAGGTTATGAATCCATGGTTTAAAGCATTACATCAATATATGCTCCTTATTATAGTTAAGTCACATTTTCTTGTCACTCAACTCATAAATGGTGTTTCAGTTGAAAGCATCTTGACAATAATCACTAGATAATACAGTACAAGAGAAATGCAGTTGCCACTAAGGGTTAATTAGTATTCCATTGATAACCTATCAGTTGTCGATTAGTGACATATATTAATATAGCACAAAACAATCTGACATTTTGGATGACTCAGGACAGTCGATATGAATCTTTAGACCTAGTTTCTTTTTTACTTCTCATCAGCAGGGAGTATAGCCAATCTTAGAATGACTGGTACACTCATGAAGATCTTGAACTTCTGTTAACTTTAATGCCAGTTAAATTCACTAAAGATGATCCAACGTAGGGAAGAACTGAACTGTATATCTTTAAACCAAGAAACTATTTCTATTATAACACGTTTTCTGTTTCAAAGAAATGATTGACATAAGACTTCAATTTTTCTTAGAAATTCTTTAAAAATACACAGTAAACTAGTAAATATTTGTTTTTTACGTAAATTGATGTTTTCCAGATGCATGTTGACAGTGTGTAGCACCATATCCAAATTAACAGTATTATCTCAAGGTAATACATGTATATATTTTCTAATGCTGGTTTATTAAAATTTGGTATGATAACAGTATTTATACAGAAAAAGAATAAAATACTTTTGTCTGAACTATATACATTTTAATCAAAATGAATTAGAAAGTAATCATATGATGAGAGACATAAATGTCATTTACTTTATACTAGCATATGTACTTGTATATGTGCATTTATATTGTTAGTTCATGGCTGCACATAATATTTATATTAGCAGTATTATAGTACTTATTTTACATATTGTACAAAAAGAATTATAGTTTATACAGAAGGAGATATAATAATCACATACGGTTTTGTCTTTCAGACTCTAAAGCCCACCTATTGTGTAGTGATTCAGTGGGCTACCTAGTTACTTAAAACAACATAGAGAGGGGTTCGATCTTGATACAGAATATAATAATGAAAATCTAGTTGTTGAATTAACTTTACCTTTATACAAGGAGTCACATGAACTTTACACAGTTTTATATTTTGAATATAAGATACTCATTCGATTTGGTTCGATCATCTAGACTGAAATAGCTAGAATGAGATGCAATATAACGCTGGTGGTGTTATGCTGTGAGTTTTAGTTTTGATTAGGTAAATACTTAACATCATATGTCACAAAAGAGCATTTCACTAAGATACTGAAACAAACATCTCAATCAAACACCTCATAGCGTCAATACAGCTGTTCTCTGATCTCCTAGTATGTTAAAGTATGCATTTACACAAGTTATTTTAGTTTCCTACCGGTTTGCGATCGTCTTTTATTATCTTTGGTGGATAACTGCCTCTCATCTAACACGGTTGAACCCTAAAAGCAAGTAATGCCCTCAATCTCTCAATGTTCTTCAATTATCAATGTAATAAACCAAATTTATGATTACATCATACTGATGATCAAAAGCAGGATATAAACCCACCATTAAATCGGCACTTTTTATTGATGGGCAATTAAGAGCCGAAGCAGCACCTGAAAGAGATAAATTATAGATTCATTTGAAATCAATAAGAACATGAAAACTGACGATTGTTGCTACATAATTCTTTTGTACATGATAATCTTCGTGTGACAAAATGTCTTACTGCTTTTTTCAGTAGTATAAAATCTAGTCAAAAATTAACTATCCAAATATCTGAGCAACATATTGAAGCCACTTTAACACAACTTATATAATATAATTAAAGATTCCTATGACTTTAAATCAAAAATATTAATTATCAAAAAGAATAAAACCATGGCAGTTTATGATGTTGCATCACCCTACACTAGTATTCCTGTTGATAGATGTTTAGACTTTATTAATGGTTTACTAGAAAACGACCATTCTTTATCTGACAGATGACATTTAAGCATCAGTTTGATCATGAAATCCCTAAAATTGTGCTTAAGTTCAACTCTATTTATTTTAAACGGAACATTATACAAACAGACAAACTGAGTATCGTTTGGATCACCCGTGTCCCCAATGGCAATCAAACTGTTTATGTCACATATAGAATCAAATATTTTCGCTAGTGACATTAAACCACGAATTTGACTCATATATATAGATGATGTTTTTGTTATCATAAAATGACCCACGATTTTTTTCTAAACTGACCAATACACTTTCATCTCACTTTAAATCTACGTACGAGAATGAAAATGAACACAGTGAGCTACTATTTTTAGATTGCTTGGTTAAAAGGAATCTCAGTGGAGCTCTAAATCTAACCACCTACTGAAAACCAGTACACTCAAATCGTTATATCGACTTTGATTCAGCACAAAAAAATCTCTGTCCCTAAATCTCTTTATAACATTAAACAAGATTATTGCATCTGAGGATGATAAACAAAAAGGACGAGAGCATATGCTTAACATCTTACGAGTTAATGATTGTCAAAAGTACAATAAAACGAGACGCATTACCGCCAAATCATAATCCGAATGAAATACAATGTATTGGCGTTACAGTTTTACCATACCGCCATGGTACAACAGATGAACTCCAAAGAATTTTAAAACAACATAGAATTAAAGTATATTACAAAACAACGGACACCCTTCGAAATACTTTATTTCGCTTAAAAGACAAACTCCCATTTATGTCAACACAGAACTGTGTCTATAAATTAGGATGTGTCGATTGTGATGTTTTCTATATTGGAGAGTCATCTCGCGAAATCGTGGCTCGACCCAAAGAATACTTTAGGTACACAAAGAAACCATCTAATAATCCTGTAGAACTGAAAAGACTTCAAATTCAGTCGGCAGTAGCAGTCCATGACATTTTCAGTAACCATCAAGTCAAAGTTAAAAATATCATAATAATACAAAAAGGTTATTACAACTGCAAAGAAAGACAAGTAGGTGAAATGTTCCATATATTGTTAAATTCTACTACCCTCAATAGAAAAGAAGGCCTTACTATCCATTCGACTTGAACCATCTATCCGAGCTACCATCCTTTTGCACCACAAATGTCACAATTTTCATCTATTAACATACATACATACATACACACAAATATACAAACATATCTCACATAAATCACGTTGACTGGAGTGACATGACACTGACTTGGTCAGACATGTTTTTTGCTTTATACCTTTTTACTATTCAAACATGTGTTAAATTTATTTATTTATTCTCTGAAGAAATGACTTATGCTGAGTCACGAAACTTCAGAAAATTTGAAAATTTAATTTTTCTACCCATTGAGATGTTATAAATATATTAACAACTTATTGATGTCAGTTCTGGAAGTCCATATACATCAAGCAGAATTATGATATCAGTTGGATAACCCTTATTTAACTGCACATGCCTTTTACATAAGTGATAATTACGAACTAAGTTAGATGAAAAACTAAGTTTTTTAGATTCATTATACAAAACTAAGCAGTCGTTCATCATATTGTCATAATTCGGAAGTTTGTACACCTGGAAAAGACAACTAAACTTAAAATCTTAGTAGCCTCAGCACATTTATCTCTAAACTAATGTAAATATGTATTTTGATACTCCCCTCAATTTTTCTCAACGCAACTATATTTTGGCTTGTTCTCCTTCATACTAGTAACATTTAGCTGTTATCTTTATTTTCCTTTACTATATCGCTAAACATTTTAAAAACCTTAATTAGTTTTGTGTTGTAACAGTTTAGTCACTGATGTAAACCTGTTTGTTTATACGACTTAGGTAAATAGCCTTACCAAGTGTATTACTGAACGGGATCAAACCTTCATAAGTCTGGATTATTTATTTTTTGACGCTAATAGGAAATTAGAATCCTTCACAAAATTTTAGAATATATCAATACGCTACATGTTTTTCACCAATTAGAAGAGAATTCTAAATAATTATATGAAAACATTTACCATTTAAATCGCCATTTAATAATTTACCACTTGTTCTGCATTGATCTAATTCAGAGTATGTATTGTGTATTCCTTTTCTCTGGCCTTCACAATGTGAACCACCGGATTTCGCAGTTATATCGTTCAGCGAACCCACATTGACCATCATGGATGCAGTTGGATAGGGCAATTTAACTTGACTAAGTGGTCCTGTACCTATAGTGCAGTTTGTAACTCGGAGAGAAGTTTTGTTAATTGCGTCGTGGTGATTACTAGAATGTCTCAGTCGACCTTTGTTTTCACTATGAACAAGATTCTGTAGACTACAGAGTCTTGGCCATTTTATTTCTTGTATTTGCATCATGCCATCAATTTTCGACGTACATTGAAAAGGGCTTGAAAGTTCATGTGTCTTCAGGTTTATGTTATTTGGGGCCAATAAACGCTTTTTATTTTCATCTAACACATTAATAAAAGGTGCTGGTTGTGTAGACATTATTGGGGCTACGGAAGCAATTGGAAGTTTGCAGTTGTTAGGATCAGATAATGGTTTAAACTTGCGTTGGGATGAAAATATGGCTTCTGTATCCGAAAAGTAACCAGGCTCTAAGCACTTTCCTGAGGAAACCACATTGTTAGTCAACGAAGTATTCGGATTAATAATATTCACAAACGCACCCGACACTTGATCTGGTATAGCTTCTGATAACTTTTTGTCTAATTCCAGGGCAATTTCAGCTTCCGTCAAACTCTCACGTTTTGGTATAGGTAGTATTAATTCTAGTGCAGCATATTCACTTTCAACATCAGAGAAGTAATTCTGATCCCAAGAGTTATCTTCTAAACATGGATCACAACTCAGTTTAGAAAGAGATGACAAAAGTAAGTCAGGATCATTTGTGAAGTCGGCCGGTTTATGGTATGGATTCTCTGCTACTACACCCGGCAAACTTTTTGACAAGAGGGATATTTCAGGTTCACTAGTAACTACTGATGATTTAATTGGTTTAATATCAGGTGATTTATTCTGATCACCAACTACTTTTTCTGATGCGATTAAGCTGAACAACTCCCTGGGTCTTGGAATAACTCCACTTTGGCTGCACAGTTTAAAGTAACTGAGATAAGAAAGAATAAACTAAATGAAAAACACACCCAAACAATTTTCCCTTGAAATACAAACAGAAAACTAGAAAGTGAACAAAAATATTTAAACATAGTGATCATGTCATTTCAGAAGTTTTGGGTGCTCTATTTAATTTATTTACCAAATGTGAGACATTTTTAGATAGTCCGAATTGACTAACAGATTTAATTAAGTCAAATTTTATACCTGTTAGTTTGATTTATGATTCACAGACAGAATTCGACTAGCTCTAAGAACTAGAGAGAGAAGAAATGAGTGGAACTTCATAACCAACTATTGTAATTATGTACTTCTGAAGAAGATCAGTCGAATGGATGTAGCTCCATGTCAAATTTTCAAGTGTCTTGGATTCCGTAGAAAGCATAAATTCCCTCAACATTGCCGACACAATATGTTGATTATTATCAATTATTTTAATTCCAAGGTCTTCGTGTGAATATTACTGATAGAGTAAATTCCAAAAGGCAGATGGATAAAGTGGATCATTTGTAGTGTAATTTCTAAGATCCAATTTCATTAAATAGTCACTAATGTTTGGTTAAGCTATGACCCCCAAGGACTCTTCGTTTCCTAAACGTTATTCTTCTTATGTTTCAATTTGGACCATTTGACGTACACAAAATGTCTAACTGATGCTAGAAGAACTTTATGAGTTGCTTATTGCCTATGCTCTAGCTTATAAATATATTATCTAATAAAATCATTGATACCTTTTTTATTGTTGAGGGGATCCAATCAATTCCTCGAAAAAGTCCGGAGGGGGTATAAAAACGCTGTGAAACATTTTGTTTAATCAGCACTGAATAGAAGTTTCTCAGAAACATATAGAAAGTGAAGAGTCAAGTGTCACATTTCTGGTTGGATAATCACCTATCCTGCTACTATGTTAAGCATGGTTCCAGAAACTTCCGGAAGCCCAAAGCCATCTGAAATACTATCAATATCCTCAATTTTCTGTGCATAAACTAGCCTTAGAGTAAGGGATTCTTTCCATATTTCGCACCTTTTTTCTTGAGTTCAAGTTGCCTGTAGAATTAACCTGAGGTTATTAGAAGCGTTTAGGAAGCCAATTCGAGAGTCCAGTTTCAAGAATTATCACTCATTAAGACTAGTTACCGGGATAAGAAAAAAGTGTTACGGCTTTTCTCATTGTCGTAATCTAAATGTTCAATAGAACCTTGATTTCAATAGATTAGAATGAACTCTTAGTCATTCTATTAGATTTAAATTTGCTTTGGTTGTATGTGGAATTCTAACCTAACTGCTCTCAATATCTTATAAGTTATCAAAACTTGTCCACTAATTTAGTGGCTTTTATTCAATCCGCAATTATAATGACAACTAGTTTAAACTTAAAGACTAGATAAAACTTTTAAACATTATGACAGCCCTATTCTACTACACTTTTGGATTACTTCCTTAATTATTTTCATTACCAATACTGAATACTTATACTTTGAACTATGTCACTGCAGCCTTATTGATGTTTAGTTTTCAATAGTTTGAAAAGCCTTTCTTTCAGTTTAGGTGAAAAAAATTTTTCTAAATACAATTATTTACCCAGTTCAAAATTTGCAATAGTATATTTTTCGTGCGGATATGAGCTACTCACTAGTAGTACGTTTTGTCCAAGACAAATAATCATGTGGTAAATTCCAAAAATCTAGTTAGGTAGGTTCCATTATTGATCATGACAAGATAAATCTTTAGTCTAAAGACTTAGAATCATGAGGACCAAAAAACGTAATTTTTCCCTCTCGTTTTGTCATATCACATTTAGGTAAGGTTGTTTGAGAAAAGTCGATAGTAAGTTACCGAGACTTTAAAACTATTCGAAATTTTAGCCACATGAATTGACTGATATAATATCAGGCTATGAATTTTTGTATGAGGAATCGTGAGCACAACTCCAAGAAACTCTGAATACTTGTAAATAACCTCACTTTGTTGAATAGCATTTGGAATTTGGTAATGAGGTCTTAATAACCGTCATACTTTATGCAAATACCATGTACAATAAAGTAAAATGTTCAAGTCATGTAGAAATGTTAAATAGGGTGTCTTTTATTACATACAGAAAATTAGCAGGCTACATAATTTTAACTATGAAATGAAAGGTTATTGAAAATAATATTATTCGTTCATATATTAGTGTTTTTGATCAGATCGTCTTCAGGATTTTCTCTAGTATACATGAATACTCTTTTGAAATTTTTTAAACTTCTATCCTTAAAACTACAGTTCAACAGGGATGTGACTAGTGATATCCCGCATGATACATTAGCAAGTGCAACGGATAGGATAATTTATGCTTTGACACTTTCTAGTAGACCAGTGTTATCTACTCAAACAAAGGTCATTTACCTGAGTTTGCCTCTTCGACGTCCATCTACAAATTCAGCTGCTCCTGCATAAATAGCTATATGGGGTATACCACTAGGCAGCTTAACCAACTAATGAGTGAACATCTTCCAGCTTGGTCTGGAAAGGACCAGACAAGGACAATATGTAGCTCTGTTTTGCCACACCTAGTTGGTAGTGCATACGATGGATAAAATCGGATCATTCCTAGTGATCTACGTATACCTTTATTTCCTATATCAAAAGCTATAGGAAACGGACCTATAACCCTGGTTTATGTGTCCTGAATAAACAATTTTATTAGTTTTATTATATCCCATAAATTTTTGCCATTTTTCACCTCTTTCAGTTTATCTTCTTCAATATTTGATTATTTACACAATTCTTATTACGTAATTTGAATATAGTTTTGTGACTGTTTTAAGTCTGTTGATCCAAATTTCACCTACTTCCTATATTGGGCTGTTGACTTCATATCACTACTAGTACACCTGTCTTCTTACTATCAACTAGTACTTTCCGCTTATTATGTGTAGTTATGTAATTTATTTCATTGGGATTATTGACTCATAAATTGTCTTGATTGGTTTAATATTTTCACACTAATATTCATGTTAAAGCCTAATGACCATTGAATTGAAAATTTTGTTCACTTATAAGCTTTATAGTTTTTAAACGCTTAAGACCATACATCTTTCTGTTTGACTAATTTAAATATTTTGTAGAGACGAATCATAGTGTATTAAAATTTCACTTTTCGACATTACAACAAAGTTTGATGAATATTGGGAACTAAATCCTAAGAAAAGTTCTAGGATCAGGTAGACAACCACCTGAAGCATGGTCACGAAACTGCAACAAAGTTGACTTAAGAAGTTACGCAGCGACGTGACATTGTGACGTCTGTGTAACCCAGATTAAATCCAAAGTAGTCTAAGTCTTAAACCATAGTGCATTTTCACTATTTGCTTGATCTGTTCTATCTTAGATTTTTAAGAAACACTGTTTTCCTATTTGGGTATTCATGGATCTGTGAGAAAACAGAAACATTTCATTCAACTTACCCATTCATTTCACGTGTATCAGTAAGTTGTTCGAGTTTATTACATGTTATCTTCAAAGACGGTTCGTCATAAAGAATTGTTGATTTCCCGTTATCTCTTTTAACTTTACTTTTATCGCAATCTGATATAATAACTGATGATTGGTTGTGGCATATCTTGTGTTGTTGGGCATTTGAAAGTTTCAACTGCTGATGACTGTGATTGCGCTGTTTATTCATTTTGTTAGAAATATATGTCTGATTTAGTTGATTACATTGAATATCATCGATTGTTTCATTTGACCTAGGTGGTTCTAATTTAATCAAATTATCTGGAGGCAAATCTTTATTAATATTACAGTTATGATTATAATTGTTGGCATTATTAAAAGTAGTAGTGTTTGTTTTATTGGTAGTAGTAGTAGTAGTAGCAGTAGTAGTAGTATCAGTATCATTATGTATTTTGACATTCATCGTCTCGCTTTTACTAACCTCATCACTAGTTGAATTAATGAAGATTTTATTCGGACGTTTTGAAATCACTGCATTTGAAGAACTTGGGGTAGAATAAAGTCTAGAAGCATTATCACACAAATGTTTTGTTGATTGAGAAATTTTATTTAATGAATTTACATCATGACTAAATTTAAGTGAAGGACTCTGTGAATCAAAGTCATTGTTTTGCGAAATAACTGAAGTAACCACCTTGCTTGATTGACATATCAACTTTCCAACTGTTTTAGGTCTCTGGGTTCGTTGGATTGTACTGAAAGCTGGTTGTGAATCAACCATCTCTGAGGAAGTATTTATTTTAGGCCTATCCGTTAATTTTGAAATGCTTGGAATACGTGAAGATTTCGATAATGGTATTCCTTGATTTGGTTTTTGGTGACAGTTTGAATCAAATATTGGTTCTTTATCACATGGTATTTTACAGGTAGATACCCATTCATTAATCCCTAAGGATGGCATAGGATTATAGGCATTTGGATCAGAAGGTGATGTACAAGCGCTATCTTTAGAATAAGATGAGGAAGATATTCCACTATCGCAAAATGTCCGATCATCTCCAGCAGATAAACTAGATGCTGCAGAGTTGGAATTAGGTAAACTATATTTTTGTTTAGTTTTCTGTTTACTCGTGATTTGAGAATAAACACTTTGTAACTGGGTGAATTCATCTAAATCATTATTAATATAATTGTCATGAGTTAAACTTTGTTTATTAGAGTTGAATGCGTCTGCAGGATCTGTCAAGTCACACAATCTCGCAACACTACTATTCGTTAAAGCATTTATTAGGAGTGGATTAGTTGACCATATAGGTGTATTGTTACCTGATGTAGCAAGAAAGGAAGTGATATCTAAATGGTCGGTTCTCTGTGAAATAATACTTGGAGAAATTACATTTTGTAACTCATTTTTCTTGGATAAAGATTGTGTATTATTATAATCTTTTATCAATTTATTAGCTTCATGTGATTTTATCTGTGAACTGCTTAGTTGTGGTTCATGATGCTTTTGGAATTCAGCATTCTTAGCGTTTTTCTCTTCGTCTTGTGGTAATTTTCTTGATGGTGTTGAAGCAGATCGTGTCTGAGATACTTTAGTTGTTTCATCTGATATTGACTGACTCTTTTCCTTATATTTATCCACTACCGCTGCATATTTATATGATTCACGTGCGTTTCCCGTTGCATTATAATTCAGAAAATGTGTTTCCTTAGCAGAAAACAATTTCACAGGGCTACGTTCTCTGATATTTTCCCTACTCGAAGTTCTTGACGTACTTTTCTTTGGGTGAGATGAGTGAAAATATGGAAGATTAGTTTTGAATTTCTCGTTTTTAGAAGTATTATTACTATTATAAGTAATATTCGGAGACACCAAACTTGTTGGAACAGTAACATTTTTATTATTGTTATCAAAGGTTCCACGTCTTTTCTTGGAATAAGACTTACTGTTAAAATCCTCTTTTCTACTGATATCTGGGCTTAGAATTGTTGGTCTATGTGAAGAGTCTGATGGGTTAGTATTTGAACCTAGGCTTCTTTGATCATGTAACATGGGATTTGACTGGTATAGCCCAAGTGATTGAGGTCGAATACCGAATTTTTCATTTGGGACCCAGGAACAACCTGCTGGTGGGCGTTTACCAGTTTCTGTTTTGAGCATGTGAATTTTATTGAAGTGATTATTGGGAAATTCTGAATGGATCCTGTTATGGTTATGATTTTTTATGGTCGAAGTACTTGTGTTTGCAATTTCATGCGAACTGACTGAGTTACTTATTCCACATAGCATATTGCAATTTGAATATAAAGAATTTAGATGGTTTAAAACTATAGTATTTGGCTCATTGGATAACTAAGATCAAGATGAGGTGCATTTGATGATCTGCAACTTAATGAGCTTTGCTCGATGATATATATTTGAGTTAAGCTGACGGCTGCATAAATTCCATTATTTTTAATTATACAAGCCACTTGTAAATAAAGAATATTTCAATGAATTAACTGATGAAAATGACGTTGCTCAGTAAAGTTCACACCAGTTTGATTTTCACAGTGGGACTCAGGATATTTTACTGAAACATAAAAAATATGTTTATAAAATAGTAGTCAATTGGTTGAAAGCTGAAGCAAAAATCAGTGTAAATTTTTGGCACATTCTGAGCTCGCGTTGACAAACATTCAGCTGAATGGAATCTGGAAGAAACTGACAATCAAATGTAAAGTTTGTTATCTGATAATTATTCGATAATGAACTTTGTCTTACAATATTTAAAGTAACAACTATTTGTAATTAATTTTAAATAAGATTACGTTAATCACATTTTTGAAGAGCACATACGTAAATTTGTCAAAATATTTTGTCTCGAACGACATTGATTATAGTCAACTACAGAATTCAGTGAAACCGATAATACATTAGGTTTTAGATCTGTTTGATAAATCACCTAAGAACTACTACGTTGCATTGTATTCAGAACGTCATTTAAAGGAGTTATGGTGAAGAAACAGAAACCAATAATGTACATCTTATTGACTATGTTATTTTCTCGTAGTATGGCCCGACCATATTTTCTGTATGTTCTATCAAGTTCTAGCGTCAGTTAACAGTATGTGACTTGAAAAAAATATGTAGAGGTAAATAAACATTCAAATCTGGTATTTCGAGATGGTAGCGTTCATCGAAATTCAATTTCTTTACGTACAAATGCACACATTATGAATTACTGTCAAAGTGTTGTCATCCGATGTGATATATCACTGGGCAAGACAATCAACATGCTATCTCTGTTTCTCACTGGTTTTAGGCTAATATGAAAATGAAAATTGTTTTTGAAATTTGATAAAGATATGATAATTAATTGGTTCAAACAAGGATGTCTAGAAGTAGACTGTTCAGATTATCATTATCGTGAGTTGTGGAGTGCTCCCTGTGATTCTATAGTTATAGATAATGTTAGTTTGTGATGAAAAATTATTTATGAAGTATGAAATGGAGTACTCTGAAAAGATTATGTTTAAAACTAATGTATTAACTGACACGAATAGTAATTTATTTAAAAGTTTCACGTATGATGCACTATATCTTCAAACATTAACTTTTCTCGTTTATGATCAAAGGGGTTCATGGGGCAAATCTGCTGACTTATTATTAAAGTTGAGAGTCGTGTAGCAATCTTCATATTGGTTCATACCTGGGTTTTAGCTAAGCAAATCGTAAGCATAGAAAACCAAACAAAATTGGAGACTCCTTATACAGAACATCTGTATAAATTTTTTCTGTTGAACATAATGCATGGAAAGTGGATAAAAATGAACTTAAGTAACTGATGCATAGTTAGTACCATGAATTAAGTGAACAATAATATTCTAAAAGCTTACTTCATTTCAATTAAGACTTTGGTCTTAATGCTCACTGCTTCAATTCAACACATAGAATAAGATTTAATGTCAAAACACATTTACAACTATTTGAGCGCAGAATGGCAAGCTCCGTTGAAAATTACTTTAATAAAATCCCACCAATGAAGGAATACAGTCACATTTCTTCTACATCTTGTTACTCTTAACTAAAATATTTTACTATTTTCGTCATTATCTCATTTATCTTCTTAAGATACAACTAATAAATCCATATCTAAAACCCAATTAACTCAAGCTCATTTAAAAGGACATATACATATTTAAGAAATGACTGATATTTCACACTACAAGGGTTCCTAGTTTTCTTAAACGTTTGATGTTTCATTTTAATATAAAGAGGTAAACTCTATTACGTTCATTTTAAAATTTTATGTGATTTTTTTGAAATATCTGAAGAAAAATGTGATCCTTGTTCATGGATGTTATTATTTTTCACCATGCTTACTGAAAAGTTAATATTCTCCCATCTTGATACATTGTATCAACAAACTAATAAAAGACTGAATATAAAATTTTGTAGACAAAATATCTTGTACTTCCTTCACTAGTTATCGCTTACTGACATTCTAATAAATATTTTTCCTTTTGTCGAAAATAGTCACAAAATATAAATTTATTATTGAAATATCTAATTCATAATTTTTTTCGTTTTTCTCTCTTGTTCCGTAACATTTTAGTCTGTTCGTTGACGTAGAAATGCAAACATCAATGAAACCACTTTGTTTTCAACACGAAATAATTTCTGTTCACTTTTCATGTACTGATGTGTTTACATGTGTGAATATAATAATGTTATATGATGATTTTAATGTTGATTTTTTTTACTTTAAGTCGCTGATTTGAAAATATATTCTGTTGGTGGAGCTTCTCTGGGATGATCGTTTATTTGGATTAAATCTAAGGTATTCTATTGCGACAAGGAGTATAGTAACTTCTTCAACTACTCAACATGAATTTAAAAGTTCTTTGTTTACATTGTATTACATATAAATAATTATATATTAACATTTTAGGATATACCTTTTGGTAATCATTACAAATATATTAATTGGGGGGACTTTACTAGACTACCCTAGTATTTTTTTGCATATTACTCAAAGTAAATCTGCAAATTAACATTTTGATACTAAGGAAAACTGGATGAGTTAACTAGGAAATTCATTTATCTGAGAACATTTAAGTGAGTCTGTTGGAACTGATAAATAAAATTTATCAATACGAAAAAAATCAGTGTACAACAAAAAACGAATTATTCGGTTATGTTTGTATTCTGTAAATGCTTCACCTTTTGACCATATTTTTAATATCTATTCAGAAAGCCTTATAGCATGTACGTAAATTTCCACTTTCCGGTCGCCAGATGATTATTTAGGGCTTAACAACCTATTAAAATAGCACTGATAATAGATTATTTTTAGAACGGTAATTGTGAATATTTATATCATCACTTACCATAGTATATTATCCTAACGGTCATAAGTGATAGCCAGAGAGTACTTTTAATACTGTTTAACATTATTGTCAAGTTATTCAAAAACAGACAGTCTCAGTGTTGTGAGAAAATAAATATAATTAGTTGAGTAATTAGCTCCTTATCATGTCAACTGATTTCCTAAACAATTATTGATACAGTATTAACGGTATTCATTTTCAAAAGTCTACATTTCCTGTATTCAAATTTAACTTGGTTTTCAACACAGTTTCATGATATGTAAGTGATACGAATAGGACATTTCAACTTTTAATAAGAAATGAATAACCGTTAAAAAACAAAGTCATTGTATCATATAAGTTGGTGGTGTATTACTCCAGTTACTAAGCGTAGGCGATATAAGTACAGGAATATCTACTGGAAAATTCCTACGCATGAATATAATAAGCATCAAGAATCTCACCAGTTTTGAAGAAGTGTGTGGTTATAAACGACTTCAAACAAACAAAATTTTAATTTTACGATATATGCCTATTTCTTATTATGAATCAGTCAGTTTACTTAACTCAAACTGATTATTTGTAATATTCGAAACGTTAGTTTTTACTGTGTTTTGTCATGATTAGTAATGAAACTTAGAAGTAATGGATTAAAACATATCCACTATGAAAATAACTGTAATTAATGAAGAAATTATGATTGTATGAATGAAAACAGTTTCTTCTATGATACTTCCATTGTGAATAGAACAGCAGTATGGTCTGATTGGTGTCATAAAGCTGAAAAGAAACTTTCAAAGAATGACCAATTGACAAAATGAAAATTATAAAATGCTTCATTTTAATTGTTTAACCCACCTAGTAAGTGAACACATTATCTTTCTATTAATAAAAAATGTGTTATATTTATTTTAGTGAACCTAAAGAAATTCGAAAAGCACAGTGATAAGAACTTTAATTTGTAAATTATTTTCTACATGGTCAGACCACTTGGACAACCATATTAAACTAGGATCTACTGTTAGCTTGCCACGAAGATTACATTTAAATTAATTGCTGTTGAGCGCTCAGTAGTAATAAGTTTCAAAATGTGTTTCATAAAAGTGTATTGGTAAGCCTTGACTTGTGTAGGAACCAAGTGGGAAATAAGATAGGACCTTACGGATTATGTTGGATGGAAATAGCACCATAGCACCGAATAGAGTATTTAGATCATGAAATATTTACTCTATGGCCAAACGTTTTCTAATCTGGAAGTCCTGACCCAGGATTCAGTATTGTCGTGTGTGACTGCTACTAAGAAATCACGAAGTAGAATGAAATACCTGTCCAGTGCTATTTGTGTTTTTGTTATTCTGCGGCTTATTTATATCCATAATTTAAGTTACGCTTAATATTCAAAATCTTTATAGAATCGTTGTAATAAACACCGTGATGGTTATGAATAACTTGTAACATTTGGGGTACTTTTGAAGTTTTAATATGGTACGACTAAATGAGTATAAGCAGTACTTACCCATAATAAATATATTGACAATTATTTGGAAATATCATGGAGAATATGATGGGTTATACGTTATGGATGTAGCGTAACTTTCATTGCCAAAATAGTAAAGTTGATGGAGAAACTTGAAAAAAATTTGCAAATGCGAAAACGCCGTTGATCAATAGAATCGATATTCGTTTGGCAAATGTACTATTCGCTAAATGTTTGTTTCAGTGTGACTGACGACCATATTTATCTCTTTATATACTTTAGTCGAATCTTTAAAATAGCTTCGGAATTACAAATCTGTATGAATCTGGGATTCAATAATAGGACAGCAGATCAGGAAATGTTACGACTGAAATGATATCATTATTGTAGACTTAATTCAGAATGCTTAATAAATTTTCGCAATCGAAATCACGAGTCAATGTAAGCTAGACCACCATTGAAAACCTAGGAGCAGTTGACAGCCTTTTTGCCTCAGCATGGGACTCCTCATCAGTGCACGTCCACGATCTCGTACGCGAGACACGAATCCGAGACCCTCGGTTACGCGCGCCAACACTTAATCTCTAGACCACTTGTCATGAAATATAATCGAATATACTTGGATGATATATTGGCTACTGAACAAACAAAGCATATGTATAATGTCGAAAACATCTGATATTTCTCTACAAAGTAATACCATAAATCTTTACTTAGTCTATTCTTTTCATACTTCTTTTCTAT